AACACGAGTGAACGATTTTTAACTAACGGAAAACTATGCAATAATAGCACGGAAAGGGTTAAACACGATGGCATTTGGCTCAGCACGGCTACGGACACACCTCCAGCACCAGCACCGCCGCCTGTCGGGCGATTTAAGTGTCGTAAGTTAGTCATGTGGTGTCAATTTGGCGCGGCCAGATTGGCAGCCCCTGAACGTCATACAAACGCGTCACGACGCAATCCAACAATGACATTGCATTTAGAGGAGCATATCTACTAGAGACATTCATTGTCTAGAGCCATCTTTTCCACATAAAAGTATACGACTAGTTAAAGGTGAGCTTATTTTATATCCGATACATGCTCCAATATTTTCAAACATGGAACACGCCCTTGAGGCTTTATTTTACATCGTTCAGGGATGCCAGCGGACGAGTGCTTTTTCCTATCCTATTTCGCTAAGATGCGTTTGTCTGTCCGTCCGTCTGTTTCCATGTTGCCCCACATCGTGCCCAGGCCAGAGGACGGCTCACCGACGGGTGGAGCTGACGCACGACGCGCGTTCGCACGAGACGGTTATGTACCCGATGACGGTCACGCACGTTGGTTTCGCTGTCTGTCTGAGGTGTCAGCGCGTGGCATGTTTCGCTGTCTGTCTGTCGGAACTGTCAGCGCGTGGCATGTTTCGCTGTCTGTATGTCTGAACTCTCAGCGCGTGGCATGCGCTACGATGTGCGTCTTTCGAAACTCTGATTTTGCTGCTAGGTGGCGAGACAATGTGACCAGGGCGAAGCAGGCAAACGGTCGTTTATATCCGTGGTCGCATCCTGGGAAGCGTGGGTCGGAGTGACACGAAACAGACATGCCTGGAAGGGAAATTGGAAGGAAAGGATGCTGGAAATGAAACTGAGCCCGGAACAGTGTGATGTCCGGTTTGTTGTTCAGTGCAGTTGCGAGGAGCATTATTCACATGGATAAAACAGTGGTAATGGCCCCATTCCTCTGAGAAAGAAACCAGGTGAATGAGGAAATAGATGCATCAATATTTCGACAACATGCCTTTATCGAAATGAATAGCAGAAGTGATCGTGGTAAATCATCGGCAGGCGATTCTAAATTCATTTGCGACCAGCACCGTGTTGGCAGTAAGAAACAAGCCATGTGATGTTTGTTTTCATCGCGGTAGGAATGCCCGACCTAGACGGCAAGGCCAACACTTTGGACAACCTTACCGAATGGAACACACCGTCGTCAAAATTGTCAAGGGTCACAACGAAATTTGCAGCGGAATCCCCGTATACCCCAATTTACCTCCTACGATGGCACATCATTTTTCCGTTTTTATGCTCTATCGCCTTCATAAATAATTTCGTCTAGAGGCCAATATTTCGTTTCCACCTCCACAATTCCTCGACGTCAAAAAACACCCATACGTCGCTACGTCCCCGCCGCCAAGAATTTTAAGTGACACGATCACACACCCATGCGCGGTATATAAGGCGGCGGTCAGCAGCATTGAGTTAATTCGTGACGGCACTGCAGTTAAGCAACAGCATTCATCGAAATAGTTCTAGGTTCCTCAAAAAACATATGAAAGATCTGTGCAGCTATACTGTAGATTTATCTCCCAGTAGTATGGCGAGAGGACAGACGAGATCTTTGCATACTTTAGGGTAGCTGCTACGCAAATCCCGCGCATGGTATTTCAGCTGCGTGTTTTGGAATAGCTGGAATGCGATAACCCAGGAACCGTGCAACAGTGTTAAGTGACAGCGGCAAGTGTAGAAAAACGCGGCACCGTCAGGGCCACCGAAACGATGCTACTGAAATCTTTGGAATGCACAACAAAAGTACTACTGCAGTGAACATTTCAGCACCAGCATTTAAAACCTGACCATTCGCTCAGATGACCTAAGCAAGTAGATCATATGCTAGTTACAGTTGTGTGCCTTCAAGGATCGGTTTCGCATGTTTTGCGTCACTGCGATTTTGCGCCTCACCGCCGTTGGAACAGGTGCATGTGTGGTGAGATCGGTAAACGCCTTTTATCGTTCATCTCTGATTATATGAATCGACACCATCCTCATCCGTTCATGATCACATTTAAACAAGTTACCTGACGTAAAGACTTTCGCAATGCATGCCTTCAAGCGTATATACCCAGACAATGGTAAGCGGCGACGGCGGTGGCGGGTGGTCGTAACTCCACGTTCGTCAGTCACACGTGATTTACCCTATGCCGCTCCACGGATACAATGGCTTTCAGATGGACTTTGTCGACCTCCCCCCCCCCCCCATCTCGCCACTTCGTGCGCTCCTTCCTCCCACACGTCGGGCTCCGGCCAGGCGTGTCGGCATCCAAGGCTTGGACCGCACCACAGGAAATCCTGCAAATGGTGTCGAAAACATCTACAAATAACACTGACACAAAACATTCAGGCACCCCACTAGTTCTTTTCATGCGCGCAAAATGGCTGTTGTAGTGGACGCACCCTAAACACCACTTAACAACCAGTAGTTCCTTTCATGTGTCACAGGTTCTCCTCGAGCATTATAAGCTGAGTGAGACAGGTCACCTCGGTCGCTTAACGAAGCAAGCGCGCGAGGGCTGGTTGTGGCTTTTTGCCATTGCCCAGCAATAGCGGTACATCACATGTTTACTTTTTCGATCAGAAACTGCACCTCCAATTCAATAGCCACTGCACCGGAACAGCTGAAAAACAAGAACATCACTACAGCGAAAAATTAGACGGTGAAAATGGAAAACAAACAGCTGATGCAGGACAGACAGACATCAATACAGCTAATGATCTGGGACCGTACAGAATTAAAAGAGCATTGTCAAAACAGATTGCTCTCAATTACGCCGACGCATCTCTATTATCGATAATCTAATGTCGGTTCTGCAGATTAGGACTGCGCGGGCTGCTCCGATGCACCAAACGTTTCGCGTGCCCTGCAGTACGGTGACGCGGCCAGGAACAGCGGAATACTGGTCAAAAACGACATAAGGGCATGTCAGGGAGACCAGAGGACGCAAGGAAACATCTGCTGGATTGACATCTGCTAGAAAGACACCAGTTAGAAAAATACTTTTCGCGGACAAAAAATTCCACACAAAACAGCAGACAGGATTTTGTTTTGCAAATGTTCCCTTGGGTTCTTGACGTTGCCATCGGAGCGGAAAAGTACATCATGTTCAGAGAACGTGCTTATTGTATCATTACTACCAAGACGGTACGCCTTTTCTAAACACGCCAACTCTTGCAAGGATGACGCAGTTTCACCGTGACCGGACCCTTTTGTTCACCGACATTCTGAAATTTCCGATGTTGTTGTAATTTGATTTTTGTTTACCGCGCATCACAGAACGTCGGCGCGCAGATGATGTAGTGGCAGTGACGACGCTCAATCTGCTGGGGCGCTGGTCGTCGATGCTTATAACTTCGTCTAATTGCTGCGCTCGAGATTGGGTTCATGCCAGCGTCGCTGGAAAATGAATGATTGCATCGTAAATGCCGCGGGAATTTCCGAGGCAAGGTGCGCAAACAAATCCAACACAGATGGCCCTGGAATTCAGAAGAGATTACAAATGACTCGGCGTGCTGCACAAGCATGACGTCAACTCCGTGGCAAAAGACCAAAACGGTCGGAAAGAAAAATAATTCCCCAGAGCTCAACGCATGCATAACTAAAACTTGTGACCCATTTCCACCTTAGGCTGGCAGACATCGTGGTGGTATGGTTCTGACACGGTTGCCTTGGTTTACAACACACGCAACCGTTGTGATCAATGCAATTGCGACTCCTCCCGCCGTTCGTCGCAAGAAAGGCGAAGCACGGCAGACAGCGTAAGTCCGACCCACGCCTCCACCGTCATCGGCCGCCAGACACCGGCGTTGCACGGCAGACAGCGTGAGTCCGACCCACGCCTCCGCCGTCATCGGCCGCCAGACACCAGCATTGCACGGCAGACGGCGTGAGTCCGACCCACGCCTCCGCCGTCATCGGCCGACAGACACCAGCATTGCACGGCAGACAGCGTGAGTCCGACCCACGCCTCCACCGTCATCGGCCGCCAGACACCAGCATTGCACGGCAGACAGCGTGAGTCCGACCCACGCCTCCGCCGTCGTCGGCCGCCAGACACCGGCGTTGCACGGCAGACAGCGTGAGTCCGACCCACGCCTCCGCCGTCATCGGCCGCCAGACACCAGCGTTGCGAGTCGCCAGTTGCGCGGACCCCGGCGTCGGTGATGAATTCCAGTGGCAGAGCTGCGACATCCGCGGCGGCGCGATCCGCCCCGTCCCTCGAGCTGCGGCAGCTCGCTCCCGGCGCTGGACGCCAGCGAGGGACATCGGCCGGACCCACACCGTCCTGAACGTCAGCACGCGCCAGCCCGGTCCACGACCCCCCGACCACAGCCAGAAGACAGCAGCCAGTTCAGCGCAGCCCTCCCGAGCACAGCGAGGTGGACCCAGCGCGCCTATATCGCTTGGAGCTTTACGAGGAGCAGCCAGCTCCATGCCCTGCCGTGACACGATTAAAACACGGCGGCCCACTGTCCACCATCAGGGGACACCAGCCCGGTCCAGGCCGCCGGCGTCAACACCAAGTCACGGCGTCGCAAATCACCCCGGTGGCTGGTAGGTGGCCGGTCCGGGGCCCTTGTTTCCGAGACCAGCATCACGGAACGCGTCGGACGTCCGCAGCGACCGTGCGAGAGGAGCTGTGGTCGAGAGGTGTGCGGCTAATCTGCATATCAATTACTGTCTGAATACGTCAGCATTCCAAAAGCAAGTCATCTACGATGTAATCTACGAAAGATTGCGATCGCATCAGGTTTTCGGAAAAGACCGCACGTTGCTGGGCCTGGGCCCAGGTTGGGCGGTGGTACAATCGGTCCTCCAGCCCACACAGACTAGACCAGAACCACTTTGCTGTCACAGGCGAACGCAGCACCACTGTGGCCCAGAATTCAGGCCCCCAGCGTTTCCACCCTCCCGCACGAAACACGGTTTAGGCTCCGGCTATATTCAAACACTCAGGCACAATTACAAAATATCATCATGGCATATAAAGCTCACAAAACTTGCGGGACAAAACATTCTCTATGTTTTAATAAAAAAGACGTCACATACACGGACTCTATGCGCTAGCAGCTCCGGGCGGCCGGCCGGTCGGTGTTCTGCTGACCTGGCCTGGCCTGATGCTGCCCGGACGGGAACAAACGGCCACGCCACAGCACGCTGGCATACGGTGCGCAGTCAGAAACCCTCGGAAAATCAGTGAATAAGACAGGATCGGTCCACTCGCGCACCGGACAAAGTTACAGGTCGCCGCAACGCACTCCGCAATGGCGACAGTCACCGTACAGGCAAGCAGCACTGATTCTACACGAAGAGAACTAGTCTAAACACGGCTGCGTAAGGTGGCCGTTGTCGCCGCGGGCGCCTGCTCGGCCGCCGACGGCCGGCGCTCCGCCACCCTGTCTGCGTCGCCGCGCGCCGGGACTCCGTCACTACCGACTACTGACTAAGCGGCCCGGGCCGCTGGCCACTCGGGCGCTGGCGCCGCGCCGCGGCCCGCCTCCTTTGTACTGCGTGCGCGGCCAACGCGCCCGCGTGCCGCGGCACCGGCCAAGGCAGAGCGGCCGTGCCGAGCTGGCCGCCTGATTAGCGCTACCTGCGGGAGCTGCGCGGCCGCCACACAGCTGCGGTGCACATCACAGATCGGAAAATACTTTGTGCACGCCAACACACGCTACGCCTTACCACTAGTGAATAAACGGCACGGGCGCTGGCTAGGCTAGAGCGCGGGCACGCGCGCGCGCGCGCGGCTGACTGGATCCGAGCAGCTGCAGCCGTCCTCCGGTGACTAGACGGAGAGGACAAGCGCGAGCTCTCACCGCGGGGCGTCGCGCGGCGACACTACAGCCATCACTGACTATGGCGCGAAGGCCGGGGCGCGCGGCAGGCCCTCTGGCTCGCGGGGGGCAGCTGAGGCCTCGCGCCAGGAAAAGACACAAGACCCGCCGCGCCACGCTTCCAATCTTCCAACAGCGAATACATGATTTTCTGCCGCGGCACCCAAACAGGGCTGCGTGCGGACCTGGCGAGGCGCTGCCGTCTCCGGCGCTGGGGGCCACGGGCGGGCGGCCGGCCGGCGCGTCCGTCCGCTGTCCCGGGAGGTGCTGTCCCGTCTGCGGCGGGGCCGGTCGGCCGCGACCCCGGACCCCGGGGAGCAGGCCGCGTGACCAGCAGATGAGGGAGGCGAAGCGCGGTCGATACAGCCAACACGGAGCCGGCGGCCGCCGCCGCCGCCGCCGCCCCCAAGAGGAGCGTGGGAGCGTGGGAGCGTGGGAGCGTGGGAGCGTGGGACCCGGGCCCGGGCGGATCGGTTACCACCGACGGCGGTTGAGCGCGGCCGGGGAAGGCACGGCCGCGCCGCCGCCGGTCCGGTGACGCCCCGGCCGCACCGGCCAGACCAGAGCACGAGCGTCCGGCCTGCCTGGCCGCCTCTGCCAGCGGGCGGCAGCGGCCGGCGCACGGCGTGACCATCAGTCACGTAGCGCAGAAAAAAGCGTGAAAGAAGCGGCGACGGGACGCCAAAACAGCCACCGCTGACGGCAGAGGCCCGCCAGCGCGCCGCTGCAATGAAACCAATTACCGAACCGGGAGACTCACCAGATCATAATTTGAACTCCTGGTGTACCGAAGGCCGCCGCGATCATTGTGGTAAGCCACGCTCGATTCGGCGCTAACACAGGCGCGAATCGGTCGACGCAAAAGGAGCCAAAAACGCGGCGGTTCGCTACGAAGCTGAAGCGATCAGCTGCACTGACACGCGCGCGCGGCAGCCGTGCTGCTAGCCGTTCACTGCCGGATGGCGAGACCGACAGCGGAGCACGCGACGCTCTCGGATGGCACGACGGGCACCGCTGGAGCTGCGCCAGAGGCGGAAATGCTGCGCACGGGGCCGACGTCTGTAGCCGGCCGGGCGGCGCCGTCCCAGGGGATGGCGTCGCACACCGGGACAGAGCGCGCGCATACCCGCGATCTCGACAGGAACACAGAGCCGCATACCAACATCAAACCAACTGGACCGCAGGCCGAGTGAATAGGCCTTAGTAATGTCGAGGCGACTCGCCGAGGTGCAGTGAAGAACCGTTGCAAGGGAGGGGGCGGCTGGGTATCATGACACCAGCACGACACACCCACCGAGCCGTGGCAAGGAGCCTCCACCGGCGGCGGCACGGCCGCTCACCGCCGGCAGTTACCCGGGACGATAGCCGGCCCGGTCCAGGACCCCGCCGGACGGCCGGCCGGCCGGCAGCCGGGCGCGCCCCTCACTGCCGGCGCCGCTCAGTCACAGTCCCCACGCCGCGGCCAAGCTCAGCGAGACCCGTCGGCTGGCGCGCCGCTGACGCCGCGTCTGCGCCTCACACCAGCAGCGGCACACACCGGCGCGCGCGCGCGGAGGGTCGTCCAAGACGGCGCGCCGCCCCGCCGGCGCCGGACTCTCCAGCGGGGACGACGTGGCCAGACTAGCGCGGCGTCCGTGGTCGCCGCCGGGCGTCGCCGCTCGACTAGACTGGCGGCTGCGGTCCCACACTCGCAGCTTTGACTGTCACATTCGAACGCGCCGCCCACCGTCCGCTGGTCCGTGGCGCGGCGCCAGCGGGGGCAGGTCTCTCCACAGCGTCGGCGGGCGCCGGCGGCTCGGCCCGGCACGCGCTCCACACTTCGCGGCGTCTCGTCTGTGCCGGCCGCCGGCGCCGAGCGTCCTCTTGCGGTCCGATCCGAGCTGGAGCCGGCGCACTATGTACAACAGCGGCTGTCACTAGCTCACTTCAGCAGCAGCTGCAGCGGCCGCGGCTCGCACGCGGCCGATGTCAGGTGGGCCGGCTGCGACTGCGCCGCCTGCGTCGACATGTCCAGTGCATGCGACGTGTTGACGGCGCCCAGCACGTGCTGGGGCAGCAGCACGTGCTGCGGCAGCTGCGGCTGGAAGCCGAGCAGGCTGGGCGGCTGCGCCGGGTGGTGCGGTGGCGGCTGCGCAGGCGCCGCCGGGGCCGCCTGGTGCTCGTCGGGCTCCCGCTTGACGCCGTCCTCCGGTCGGCCGCAGTTGGGCGCCTGCTGGTGCTTCTTTAAGTGCTCCTTGCGGTTGAAGGTGCGCTGGCAGGCGCCGCACGAGAACGGCCGCGTGCCAGAGTGGGTCGACTCGTGGCGCTGCGGGAAACACAGGACCAGGCGTGAAAATGCCGAAAGCGACACGACCAGCGGCGGCAGACTCCGGTCCCCGCGCACGCTCCGAGGCCACGCTGGCCGCAGCGGCAGACGATGGCCACTTACTCGGGTTGTGAGGCGGCGCCCTTGTGTACCAGGGCAAGCGTGGTACCCCCACACCGACGCTCACAGACATCCGCGAGGCGGCGACGGTGCGCAAGCACAAAACAACACAAACGAGGCAGTGGCTCATCCTAACATGCCCTTGAGTATGCCAGTACGGTAAGTAAGGGTGGGGCGGGGGGCGGGCACGATCGTGGACCTGGATCCGATGCCGTGTTGGTCGGCCAAGGGCGGTACGATCGCGGACCTGTCCCCGACGCCAAGGCGGTCGGTCGAGTCTGCCGTGCGGGCGCCACTCGGCGCCGCCGGCCACGCATGCTCGACACGCCAGTCAAACACATCAAGGCCGCGCCAGCACACAGACCATCCCCGACCTACCACAGGCCGCGCAAAACACGGCACTCCAATCAGCCGGGGCCAACACCCAACTAAGTCAAGCCGCATCCACGGCAATCACCGTCAGACGGCAAAAACGACGCTGCCAGCGATCTACGGCTCTAACTAATCAGGAGTTCGACCTTCCGAACCTGTCCAGCACACTGTTGCGAGCGAGCTGCAGCCCGAGCTAGTGCAGCCTGCCATGACATCGGCCGCCCCATGGGGTGTGTGGGGGACCGCGCAGTGTGGGGGCCGCCCCATGGCTGCCGTCGCGCCCGCGCCGGCACCCGCCGACACTCGCGCCGCTGCCCCCCCCCCCCCCCCGTCCCCTTTCCCACCTGCAGGTGCTCTTTGCGGCTGAAGCGGCGGCCACACTCGCCGCAGACGTGGTTGCGCGGCGCGTCCGAGGGCCGCCGGGGCTGGTGCTGCGGCGGCGGGTGGTGAGACGGACCCGGCTGGGGCTCAATGCCGCCGCTGCCCACTGCTGGGGAAACGGGCGCTCAGTTATGACGCGGCACAGCTCGAGGGATTCGGTCAGTCAGGTCAGCGGTCAGCGAGGTCAGGGGTCAACAAGATCAGGGGCCAACGAGGTCAGTGATTAGCGAGGGCAGGGCTCAACAGGGGCAATGGTCAACGAGGCCAGCCCGCTGACGTGAGGTCAGTCACGTCAGTTCAACGAGGTCAGGTCACTAATGTCGGGTCACCAAGGTCATCTCATACAAGTACGGTTCGTGGGGAGCGGACAAACCCAGTTCGCCAAACCGGATAAGTCCTCCAGCAACGTAAGGTCAGGCAGGTCAACAGCAAGTCGATCAGATCAGCTAAACAGATCTTGCCACGCCTTCGTACGCCACTTCAAAATTTAATGTCAGGTCAAAACTGTCATAATTATTAACAGGCGCCCGGGTGGCCGGTTGGATACCATTCGTTCGGGTGGGCGGATGGGTGGGTTGGGCTTTCAATTTGACCCCCCGAGATCTCAGGAACTTAGAGAGTCAATTACACCGAATTTACAGCTTGTGTTGGCCTGTACCTGAACTCAATCAATTCATAGTTTGAGGTTACTAAATCACGACGGGTCAAATAAAAAAATGGGTCAAATAAAGTCAAACAAGGTCAATCTCCAGTTTGGTCTCCAACGACCCCTAGAACCTACTGTTCTAAGCAGACCACATGATCAGTTAAGATCAGTGACCTTGTTTGAGGTTTCCAGGGTCATGGTGACCGGAATCACGCAAGACTGCATCGGGTTTTGCATTTGAATAAGCGACAAAGATTACTCTAGGCAGTATGTTCCAAACATAGAAATTTTGACCTGGACCATTTTAAGCCAGTGACCTATTCTGATCGGTAAGTGCATGGAAGATGTATAATACGGTTCCTGTTATCAATAAATTCCAAACAAGGACCGAGAAACTAACTCATACGGCAAACCCAAGAGTACTAAAACAGAGTCGCTTCAACCTTGGTCTAACCTTCCAAACTGACCTTAGGTCAATGGGATGTTTGTTTAATTGTCGCGTTGCCTAAGAAAGTATCTCAGAGATGCATGGTTTCGTCTCACACTCCCCTGTAACATCAGATGGAACGATTCCCTAGAAATTAACTCCGCAGAATCCACGGCCTGGCTTTGACCCGCCGTAAGTCAGCGATCTTACAAGGTGCAGCTAAATTTTCAATACCAAATGATCCGCCCTTCAATTGTCTACAGCTACGCAAAATTTGGCGGGGCTGCGCCGCGCCGTTCGGAAACCATTCTGGAAAAACCTTGGGGGGGAAGGCAATTTGACCCCCACCCGAGCGCGTGTTAAGTCACGCCATCAAATGTCAACAGATTCGATCATACACACAAGGCCAGCTAAGACAGGCACAGCTCTCCCCGCCTGATATCCTTGTCATTAAATGTCAGACATATTCACGGCTGACCCGCCCTGCGATGGGCCAGAACGGTGGCGCCGGCGGCGGGGCGGACGGCACTCGTGTGCAGCGTCCCATGGGATGACGCCGGCTGGCGGGCGGGGAACGCGGCGCACACAGAGACGTCCCCCAGACAAGGGAAGCACCTACAAGGCAACGCCCAAGCCGAAGGCGTCGCCCCAAGCACGGCGAAGTTGGCTGATGCTCAGGCACACCAGAGCCCCCTTCAGGCCCAGCCAGCGCCGAGCCGGGCCAGACGAGCACGGGAACGCCCTCGTATCGCGCTACCCTCGGTCAAATGCCACTAAGCCCCGCAGCGAGCTCGGAGTCGCAGTTGTGGCCCTCCCTCGGCCGTGTCCCCTCTCCCTCCCCACCCATCGGAGCCCGACTGACCGCGCGGAGCCGCCGCGTCGGCGCGCCTCCAGCCGTCTCCGGCGGCCGGCCTCCACTGACCGGAATCGACGCTGAGGTCGGTGCCCTCCAGACTGACGAGCGGCGCCGCCGGTTGCAGCTGCACGGCCGGCGCCGCCCGCTCCCGGCTGGGCGCTGCGCTGCCGCTCTTCGTGTGGCTCATCACGTGTTTGCGCACGTGCTCGCGCCGGAAGAACGCTTTACCGCACAGGTAGCAGACGTGCTCCTTCTTGCCTGCGGGCACGGCGGAGGAGAGCGTGTGAGGGGAGACGCGCGCTAATGGCAGCAGCTGGCGCGGCGGCCAGCCGCGTGACACGCTCGGTACACCTGGCTTCTGGACACGTGCAGAGGCACACACACGTCCAAGAGTACACGACGAAACGCATACAGTTTTGAGGTTCATGATTTCCGCAATTCACTTGTGGTGTGCGTATCTCCGCTACGTCCAGCACGTCCAGTTTGGGTTGTCAATCGATCAGATTAAACAATTAAACACGGAGATATGCCATGTCCAAGGAGAAATGTGCATTTGGGAAGCAGGTACCGAATGAACATGAATATCAAAATGCGTACGGAGGGGGGGGGGGGGAGGCAGTATCCGTGGCAAGCGAGTCATACTTGGGACGGAGGAGCCGTCTCAGCTATTACACGTAGCTCCGCAAGTCACCTGGCAACGCTCGGACCAATGAACAGAGCATTCCTGACCGGCACATCACTGGTGATCGAGATCCCAACACAGCAGCAGCCGAGACGTGGTTCACAGTTCTCACATCAGCGCGCGCGACCACGGCCCGTCGCCGTGCTCCCCTGACCCGGCCCCGTCGGGAGGCGTTCATATTGTCCAAGGTAAGAAATGTCCTAAAGGTACAAAATATCCAAAATTCATAATGTCCAAGGTAAACAATGCCCAAGACGAGAAGTAACTTCCAAAATGGTGCAGAGTGGAAGGGGGCCGTTTCATAATGCCAAATGCACAGAATGTCCCAGGTACATAATGTCCAATGTACGTATTGTCCAAGGTACGGAATGTCCAAGAACCAGAGCTTCCAAAATAGTTTTTGGAGCGGCCGTCAGGGTGTGAATAATCGCCCTTATTGGTAGGCAGCGTTGCACCGCCCAGCGTCGCCCGCGCGCATACAGTCGACGCCAGTGCGAACACTACAAGACATGGAGCTACACTACAGCTACGCTACAAGAATGTGGAGCGCTGAGGGCGAAAAACGGGGGGGGGGGGGGGTGGGGGCGGGGAGGGACTCAAACCTACCCACGCCGTCACATGTGCGCTGGGCGGCACGCGCTTATTGATTGAGCTACGGCTGCGTTTCTGGTACTTGGAAGTCCCACCAGTCCAAGAGGAGGCACTGATTCACAAGTCATGAGATCAACAAGTCATAACATCAACAAGACAAGTCCGCCAGGCTGAGAGGTGTCTGTGCTTAGTTTTTTTATATCTAGGAAGTTGGTTTGTAAAGTGGGCGAAATCTGAGGGCAAATTCGGTTTTTTAGATATGCTCGCCCTACACGGGAAGTCTGTGACATTGCCTCTGTTCATCGCATAAAGGCAAACCCAGAAATATCACTCGTTAAAAGAAAAAGGTAACGCTTACACGTGTGGCAACCGTAAATGTTTACAACTGTACTGTAACACACACACGCGCGCGCGCGCACCAACGCACGCACGCACGTTTTTTTCTCACAATTATGAAATATATGCCAAAAACACAGGTACGTCAGTACACCGGGAGACAATTGGTTACGTCAGGATTCTACGCCAGTATTTCAAAAATATGGTGATAATTCAACAGTTCCAGGTAGTGCACGTGGTCACCTGCGAATAAGTTGACGCAAAACGAGCAACTCAAAAGGCCTGTGAATGATCGCAACTGTTGCAACTCTGTGCATATCCTGACAAGAAAAGTATTAAAATAATCAAGCATGCAAGCTTTCATATCCTAATGTTAGGCACACGGCACTATAAGGTTTGCAGGAGACATCGATGGCTAGGTCGGAAGGTTTCGATGGACTGCATCAACAGATCAGAAGGCAATTCGCTACAGGAAATCAGTGTCCAAATCAATCAGCAGACAACTATTGCTGAACGTACCTCACCTGAACAATGGCGCTAACAATCAATATTTCACGATGGTGCTTGCGAGTTTATCCTCTGCCAAAAGTTCACCGATACGCAGCGATTCCTATATCCTTGGTCTGCGTTGTCTTATGCCGTTGCTGAAATGTGCGCTTAAGAGTTTAAGTATGTTATAATTTGTGCCATTGGTGCATGCATGTCGAGTATTTCTCTTATCATGAGCGTACGCTCTCCGTACACATGTGTGCCCAGGTGTCCATTAAACAAGCCTGGGGGCCATGCATTGTTCTCACATACAATTTCACTGGAACAAGATTACAAGACATTTGTGTACATCCTGTGCGTACAGAACCACACATCATACATTGTGTATTTCGCTCTATTCTGTACATTTTACTTTTGGTCCACTGAGACCATGGGTGTAGGAACGCGGGGCCAGGGGGCCATGCCCCCCCCCCCCCTCTTCAAGGTGGGAGGCCAGCAATGTTAACTGCTCCCCCCCCCCCCCAACTTCTCGGATTAAGGTTGCATTTTACTTACTTTTGCACAACATTTAACATGCATGCCGATTTGCCTAGTTCACCAGACATCGCCCTTGCGATGCGTCATCTTTTTCGTCCGCTCATTAGCCATCGCTTAGCGCTACGGCCGCACGGACTGGAGACTGCAACGCCGAGCGTCGAGGCTGTTGTCGCTATGACTTGGGAGCGCGCATGTTTAACATCATATTACGTCGTCTTCTTATCAGTAATCAGTAATGACAGAATCTTGAGCATATTAAGACGAACATGGGTTAGCCATGTTAATACAGATTAGGAACCCCATTTCATCTACAATCTACGGTCAGGGAGAACTCAATATATCTGAAGAACACAGAAAAACACGGAACTAGATAGAGTCCATGTGACAATGATTGAACCATCTGAGGTGATCAGGGATGCTGTTGCGTCAAGGAGGGTTCCTGTGCTGATCCGGGGCTAACTGCGCGGGTCAGAGAGCCTCCCGTGTCAGGGATGGGAACAATGTGATATGATATATCCTTCTCATGGCTTCCGGACTGACCAGGAGATTCCGCCCCGTGTCGCCAGAATGATAGCCAGAAGACACTTTGCGATGGGACGGAGTGGCCCTTCAGGCCTTAACAGGACACGGTAATGTACCCCTGATGTTCTACTCCAGAGGCCCCTTGCCCGGAATGAGATAAAGGAGTCGCATTATTGTGGAGAAGAGCGGGATCTCATTATTGTTGAATGGGATGGGTCGAAATAAGCTAAAAAAATGAGCAAGTTCATGCCATGTTTGCCTGAGAACGTTCATTTTCCAGAATGCACTAGCGAAGAAAATTACACCAAAAGGCTTAAACATACCCGCCCGCAACCCCGAGAGCAAGGAAAATGATGGTCTGGGTTGCAGCTTCCGTAAAACCGAAAAGTTTCGGCCCCTGCAAGTGCTACCCGACGGCGGGCGTCGTGTTAATCTGTCTTCTGGGTAGATAAACACTTGCAAAAACACGAAAAATAGAGATCCTACCTTCTCTCCTCCAGTTCAACCACCAGATTACAGCCCCACTTCACGGTGCTTTACGGGCCAATTCGTTCTTTTCATCAGTCAAAAATTGTACGCGTGAAATATGCGCTCAGACTGCCTTCTTACTGTACGATCTGATGTCATGAAGCATTCAAGAATACAATTTTTCAGGAGCGTCGTCATTTTCGTCCACCCGTTGGCCACAGCTTAGTATCGGCTGCTAGGCCGACACTGCGCAGCCTACGGAGACTGCAACGCCTGGGGTCGAGGCTTGTGTTTCTAAGATTTTAGAGTGCGCATGCGCATCAAAATTACGTCACATAACTTGCATTAATAGTCGGTTACAGTGTTTAAAGGCAATCACTTGATAAGCGTCATCATTTTCGTCCACCGGTGAGCCACGGCTAAAGGTTAGCTACTGGGCAGGCGCTCCGCGCATTAAGGACACTGCAACGCCTGGTGTCGAGGTTTTTGTTGTTAAGATTTGCGAGTGCGCATGTTAAAAAAGCATGTTACATAAATTGTATCACTAATAGATTCCAACTGAAAGGTGAACATTTTCAGACAAACAAGGCTTGGCCATGTTAATACACGCTGTTGACCACTCGATCTGCAATCAAATTTCATCTTCAAATATGGATCAAATACATCGATCTGCAATCTACCTTCGCAATGTCTCAAATGTCTGCAGAACCCAGATGAAAATTTTCACAAGGCTTCTGAATTCTATCGGCTTAGAAAGGGTCGACTGAACCATTGTAAATTAAGAGCGCCGGTGATCTATTCCATGTGTTCGTTCAACGCCTGATTTCTGCAGTTTATTGACCTCAAAATACAAACAGAATTGAGCTCACAGTAGTTCCTGGTTTCTGTTCGGGTTACAAGGTAAAAATAACAATAAAACGAAGGACACAGTGTCATGTGTTAACCAGAAAGCTATATCCAGGGATTTGGGGGGGGGGGGATCACCATAAGATGGGCTTTTATCAACCCTGTGTCCCCCCCCCTGGCAAGGCTCTGGCTACGCCCCTGCCTACTCATAGAAGCAGATCAAGTCGCGTACGTTGCATGATGGACAATGAAGTGTCCGTTGGGCCGATCCATACCTAAGGCCGACAGCTTCCCGGAGGCTACTTTTCTGCGATGGTGTGGTATAAGGGAAGACAATTCCGAAAAAAATACTGTTGCAGGTGTCCAACACACGTTTCATACACCATGTAGTAGTAACGCTGATCCAAAAGTATGTAAAAAAGTAGCCATACGATCAGCTCGCAGTCAGCCATGCCGGAGACATCCGGGCCAGGGCAGTGACCACCGACGGCGGACAGGAGCAGGGCCCAGATGAGGAACATATAACAGATGGGCCTTATAATGTGGCTTGGTTCTTAAAAGCACTGCGAGCCATCGATCCACTTTCAAAATTCTCGCCAGCCTACGTCCAGGCCGTATTTTGGCATTTACACTGTGGAGGCAGATGCCTCCTCAATGACCCAAAATGCCTACCCGCTCGTGCAATTTTGCTTCCCCAGGAGGGACAGTGTTAAACTGGATGAATAATCTTGGGGAGCTGGATAGCCTCATTTGCCAATTAACAGTAAGTCGAACAAGCAAGATTGTGCACCAGTGAGAAACAGCTCTAGATGCACATCTAGCATGCCCCTGCATGCCAGCCCCTTTCCCGCCGGTCATCGGGCCCGCTTTCCAGAAAAAGTTCCTGAAGTACACCCTGAGCCTGCCCCCCCCCCCACTTTCTGAAACGTTCCTACGCCTTTCACTAAGGCATATATGACAAGCTTGATGAAGTTTTTGTGACAGTCCATTTTCTATCCATTTCGGCGAAGAAGCCTGGCATGAGAGAGTTCCATGAACCAAAACGCGCAAGTGTCAACGGCGTGTCGCATGTGCGATCATGGTTTTATATGGCATATAACTGGAAGAAAAGATGAATCCAGACATAGCATAGACAATAAAGACTAGCAGGATGATAGTTCAGATACTATCACTACACGCGAAAACACTAAACGTGACAAAGAATGCAACAACTTGTAAGAATACTCCGTTTACAGCATGAATAGCGTCCGTATAGTGAGCATAATCGAGGAAAACTTGATAGCATATCATTCTTCGGTATTACACCAACTAAGTGCTTCCTGATTGTTTCCAAAAACCATCTCACAGATTTGACAATAGCCTGGTGCTCTTCGCAAACTCAGTGTACAACTTGAACGTATAGCTGTACGTAACAGCCGCGCACCACCCCTAGCTATAGCATTGTTTTTTATTCATTAGCCTTTCGAAATGAGGCTTAAATCAAGGTTGTACATCTGATATATTCACAAAATTTGTTACATCGGAGCTTAGGAGGCTGGCTGGTTAGATTTATTTGCTGAAATTAGAAACGCCACCCCAACATGTCTGTCATACCGGCACGGAGCGCTCAATAAAGTTGATTGCTTCCTCGGCACCTTATTTGTAGTGCCGCTAGATGAGACCTAAACCACAGCAATACGCTTCAAGCCCGTGGTGCCCCGATTATATTGCACTTCGCGTCGGCAGCCCCATAACTTATCAACAAGCAGCCACGAAATCTCAAATATTAGGAGCGTTGCACGCTTCTTCTGGCCTTCAGTCGTGTGAGCATATGTTTAAAATTGAATTAAATGGGAAGTGCTCCTCGTTTTCCATGGCAATATATACCCGTAAAAACGAGTGTCCAGTGCCCCTTGTATTGCGCCTCTTCGATGTGATTCCTCTTCAAGTCCAAAAAGAAACCGTAAAAATGTGGAGTAAACGCATTGTGCATATGTAGAGCACGTCTTTATAGATGACGTAATGTGAGAACAGGGGTATACCGCTGAACCTACCGGTACACCTACCGGTATACCTACCACTGTGCAGCGGAATTATTGCAAACTGGGCCGGATCCAGTATTTCGTGAAGGGGGAGCACAAAACATTGCGGTGCGCCCTAGAGTTTGGGCCTCCTCCAAAAAACAATAGTGCCATTAAAGTTTAAGAGAAAAAGCCGATATATATTACATCCCTCGCCTTTTAGCCAAAGTGGTGCTAGCTTTTGGCCTTATTGTTTTTTAAAGCTTTTTAGCCCTCGTTTTCTAAGGACTGTGCAGGGAACCTTGGGTTCCAATACCTACATTATTTGTTATATGCATGTAGTACATGCATATATATATATATATATATATATATACATATGTAAATATGTAATAGTAAATACAGGTCCCCACGTGAACAATATGCACATTAGGGTAGCATGACTAGCAGTCTTCATCTTAATTTCATTCTAGTTGACCGCTTCAGGAAACCCTAGTGTTCCGCTGGGGTAAAAGTTCGTCATGTATGCGCCAAAGGATTGAAAATGAAATGAAAAAATGGGATAAAACATCAAATCTCCAGGAACTTAAGTACAAGGACAGTTCAGGTGGGATAATAGAAGTGTAAGATTCCAGACCGGTTCATTGGACACCTCAGTGGCGCACGTATACGGAAGGTGCGCACATCGTTGAGAGGAAAACATGATAGGTAAAAAACGTTAAGTATACCTAATATCGAATTATGTAATCCCATCGCGTGCGTAGTTTGATAGATGCAGCATTGCACAAGAAGCACTACCTGTAAAGAAGACATTTTAACGGCAGGAGACAAGTATTCATAGATTTAGACCGTTGCGCGCAATCGTCAGCTTTGTTCGAGGCATGAAAGCATGCATCATCTTGGAACGTCACATGAGGAGCGTTTTTTCATGTGATGTGCATCTAGAAATTGCGCTTCAGTCATTGCCTTCAACACCTTGAACTAATTATTGGTGCTGGTCACCTATGACTTGAAATCTAACCGCCTGCCATATTGAACAATGATATTCACTACTGACCACGGAACATTTTTGATGTTAGCTTGCTACTGCTGAAAGCACATTCCATAGTAACCACAATGCCGGTGTATCACACCGGAAACGATTATTGACTCGAACTTATTTGTTTTTTGAACTTGTTTGAACTCATTAACCCGAACTTATGTCTGCATGATACTGACAATCTAGCAGTCAAGATCGGCGTCCAGAACTGCCCAATCCTGGTGTCGATTTCGACAATTATATTTTCGGGCGTAGCGCGGCTATAATCCCATTTCATATTCCGCCTGCTTTCAAAGTTTTTTAGCAGCCCAAAATGCAGGCAAACCTTACCGGGCTCAACTTCGATAATCAGTGACTAATGCTTGGCGCGGTACCCCCAGCCGGCTCCATTGCGTCGTGGAGCGGACATGGATTTGTTACTAAGCTAGTAATCCGGCCGGCCAGCCTCACACGCGTGGTCTTCGTAATGGTGTCGACTGTATGCGCGCGGCCGGCGCTGGGCGGGGCAACGCTGCCTGCCAATAAGGGCGATTATTCATACTCTGGCGGCCGCTCTAGTAACTACTTTGGAAGCTTTGGTCTTTGGACATTCTGTGCCTTGGACAATATGTACATAGGACACTGTACTAAGGGTATTCTGGACATCAGGCATTATGATACAGACCGCTCCCACTTTGCACCATGTTGGAACTTTCTTCTCATTTTGGACATTGTGTGCTTTCGGCATTATGAATTTTGGACATTCTGTACCTTGGACATTCTGTACTTTGGGCGTTCTGTACCTCTGGACGTTCTGCACCTTGAACAATATGATACGGAACCCGGCCGTCTCACCGCCGCGTCAACTGTATGTGTGTAAGCGCGGGGCGCAGCTGGGCGCCAGGCGGACCCCGCCTATGTCCACAGGCCATGGCAGCCTCGAGCGCGCAACGTCCGGTCGGAGCGCGTCCACCTGGCACACGGTCGCCAGGCGCCACCACGGGCCCGGCGGCAGACGGCCGGGCGCCCAGCCGAGCAGCCCGGCGACGGCGCCCGCCTCCAGAGACCACTGATGGCGCGCGCCGAACCGATGGGGCACGGCACGGGCGATGGCAGCCTACGGCGCCGGTCTGACGACCAGCACTTACAGGCGTATCCATGTATGCATGCATGCATGCATGCACGCATGCACGCACGCACGCACGCACGCACGCACGCACACGCACACGCACACACACACACAACACAAGCCCATGAGCGCGCGCTCACGCTGGTGCACGCAGCAACAACGCCTGCACGCGTCTTGGGGAGCCGGCGGGCTTCGGGTGCGGCGGACGGCCGGCGGCGACACAACTCACCGGTGTGCGTCTTGCGGTGTCGGCGCATGTGCTCGCGGCGCAGGAAGGTGCTGCCGCAGAGGTCGCACGGGTGGCGCGGCGCCGGTTCGTCTAGAGGGGGGTCTGGCGGTCAGACAGACACGCACGCACCGTGAGCGGTGACTGACCATATCGCGCGCCTCGTCACACGACCGCGCGCACCACACTCTCACCACATGCCACACGGACGCGGCGCCCACTCCGAACACGGCGTCCACGGCGGCAGTTGAATGGCTTCGCCGCCAGGTGCCGTGCGAACTGGGGGTACTTTAGAGATGCAATGTCGACCGTCTGGCCTATCTGTGCAACGAGACTGCCTGGGGCACAATGTTAAGCTCTGAACACGCCTGAGCATGACTTAAGCTGTGTATCCACACTTTCAACAGCATGCCCTTTTACGTATCATGTAGGGCTAGTGTAGTATCTTGATGTTCCAATCAATCTTACGTCAAATCTAGCGTGAACTATTGAATATTTTCAGCTTGTGTGAGCCATGCTATCATATTACGAGTAACCAATCGTTTAAGACTAGCAGCTGCAGGTTTTCGGCGCCAATTTCATAAGTAACACTTGATCAGGGCTCCATTTCAGACATCACGACTAGATTGCGATGCAGATTTGATCACTGAATGCCACAACGGCCGTGCGGCCCAGCCTGAACGCAGCTCGCGCCGCCAGGCTCAGCAATCAACACAACTTCAGACAAGAAACACGGCCAAACCAGCCACCCAGCCGCACCGATGAACTGATGCGGCCTGTTACGGTCACCGGCGGCAGGGGCGACGGCGGTCAGACCGGCACCCGGCGCTGGGCGGCCGGCGGCGCTCGGGACAGGGATAGCGCCACACCCGCCCGGCGGCCGACTGTGACCTGGCGCCAGCATCGCACACACTGTCGCGGCAGCGGAGTCAGCCGGAGGCGACCGGACTGCTGCCACCAACCGACACCGGCCGATCACCTGACATCGGCTGTCGGTGGTCGTTGAACACTGCCCCCCCCCCCCTCCCCCCCCCCCCACCCGTCAGACACCCCCAGACCTCGGGCATGCTCCGGCGACAGTCGCAAACAGCTGGAGCTTCTCGTCTAACCAGAGGAAGGAGGCAATCCAGCCTAGCGTCGGGATCGACACGGCCATGCAACTCCTCTAATGACTCACTCCACAATAATCTGTGCCAAACCATCTGGAATGCATTACACACGTCCAGCAGCGCCGGCCCGGCCATCCCCCGCCTCCCGGATTCGCGGGAGATCCGGAGCCGGCCCGGGCAAGCCGCGTCCACACCGGCCGCTAACAGAGCGGCCATCGGGGCGCTCCGCTGCGGCCGTAGCGCGCGCCACGCTACAGGGCGCGCGACCACCTGACGCGCTACGCTACAGGGCGCGCGCTACGGCCGCCGGATGCGGCGACACACGATCCCACGTCTAACAGGCGCGGCCGAGACGGCGCCGGCGCGACCGGCGCCACTTCGCACCGCGCCCCAGTGCGTAGTGGAGTCAGAAGATCGAGGGGAAGGTGGATTCGCGCCGCGTGGGCTTGCGCACCCATTAAGACGTCGCAAACGTGTCAGCGGGTCCAACTCCCGCCCACCCGACACGAACGCTTTGCCGAACCGTACTCCACCAAAACAAGGCGACGCCGGCGGCGGTGCGACAGAGGCGGCCGTAACAGCGAGCAGAGAACTGGAGGCGAGCGGACCGCTGGCTCCTTCCGGTAGTGTGGAGCGCGCCGCCTCCGGCACGCGGCGGCGACGGCGCCGGCGGCGGGAGGACGAGAGTACCCCAGCCACTTCAGCACGCGCGGCGAGCACGCGGCCCGCCCGGGACAGCCATGGCGGCGACGGCGGCGACGGCGGCGGACGCGGAACCGGCATTGGAGCCGTCCGGAGCGCCGGCCGGCCGGCCGCCGGGGCGCGCGGACTCACCATGCGTGTGCCAGTGCCGCTGCAGGTGGTACCTGCGCAGGAAGCCGCGGCCACAATGCTGGCAGACGTGCGGCCGGTCGCGGCCGTCGCCGGTCGACGCCGGCGGCGGCGGCGGCACGTACCCCGGCTCTGCCGGCACACACACGCACGGTGAGTGTCCGCCCCCGGCCCCCGCCCCCGCCGCCGGCCCAGGATCACACAGCGACGCACCGCGGCCGACACCAGCTGTCCAGAATGTATGACGAGGCTTGTGGGCACGGCAGCCGCCGGCGAGTGGCGGTAGTGCTACGGTCTGGGCAGTGCGGCGCCTGGCCGCGGCACCGCGTAGTTCCCCGTCACGACCGGCTCCCCCGACGTGACCCGACGTGACCGGGTGACCTCGACGGTGCTCGACTACCCCGGCTCGCTTCATATGGTGGCAAAGACAGGCACGCCCGCGCACGCCGGCTGGTAAGCTCCCGCCGTGTTCGCTGCCAGGACGTGAGGCGAGACCGGTGGCGCCGAGATGCAACGTCCGACGGTATGCAATGTCCGCCAGCGAAGTGGCACCTGAAAAAAACAGCCGCCAGCCGGCCTAGAACCCGCGCCCAGCAGGTTCGAGATCCCACCGCTGCCGCACTGCGCGTGCGACGCAGCCGAATGGGCGGCCATTGTCGCACTGCTGTCCGTGATGGCCTGGAGCTGTCCTTGTGACCACTGCACGCAGCACGAGCGGTACTTCACGCCAGCTTTGAGCTAATCTAGAGTGAGCATGTGATGACAAGGTAGCTTGCCAACTCTGCTCATTTCATAATGCATACTGATTGCGGTTTGACGACGCGTTCAACATGGAAACCCATTGAGTGTCGGTACATCTTCGCCGATTGTCACGAGACTACGGAACTCTAGGGCAGGAGCCCAGTCTGAGTCCCAGCACTCTCTGCACGCGGTCGTGCGGCGAACACCCTCCCCACCGAGCCACTCCATCATCCAGGTCAATAGAAATGGAAAGAGGCTTCCCTGAAAACAGCGCGAGCTTTTGTTTACCCCGTGACACTGACTAATCATAGCTGGTGCGCAGGTTTAACGAAAAACGGCAGGCGGGATTGTTTGCCAGCACTGGCGGACAAACTCAACCAGGCCGCCGTCACAAGGCGTACGGTTGGAGTGCCTCCCACCTCGTTTGAAAAACACACCGGAACCAGGCCCTGTGCCATCAGAGACCGGCCGGCTGTTCACTTCCGAGTGCAGCGGAGCCCACTGTAGATGTTTACAGCTGTCTCAAGTCCCTCATAACAACGGCATTCTGAGGCGGGGATTGAGCCCGGCTGCTCCGCTCCCGACACGGAGTCACATCCGCTCCTGCTCCCCCCCCCCCCCCCCCTGCTCAGTCGCGGCGGCGGCGGTGGTCCATCGATCCGCCCGGAGCGTCACCTCCCGGCGCCCACACCGCCGCCGGAGGTCACACGACCTGTGACGTCTCGGGAAAGGCGTGCGGCCGCCGGCCGAGCGTCCCGTCTCCGTCCCAGGCCCGCTCGACATCGACCTTCCGTCCGCGCCGTGCCGCCAGAGAAGCGAACCCTCGGACCGGCGTGAGAGCGACGCCAGCGACCGCTGACGTCGCCGGCGCGGCTCGTCGGCACCAGCTGTCGCCGGCGGGGCTGCATCTGCCGCGGCAGTCCGCCAACCCGACGCCGAACGCACGGCCACTGACCGACGCTGCTGGAACAGAACCTGGCTGCAAGGCAGAAGGCGCCGCCCTGCCGCAAATGTCCTCTTCTTTCTTGCAGCTGAACTCCCGCCGCCTCTCCGTCTCCATGACCTATCGTGACGTCGGCGCAGCCGCCCTCGCCAGCAGGCGTCACCTCGCCGCTCGGATAGCTCCGTGGGCTGACATCAGGCCTCACCACCCAGCGCCCGGCCGGCCGGCACCCAGCCCGGCCCGGGCCACCTCCGTTGCGGAAAAGCGCCAGCCGACGCCACGCGGCCGCCGAAGAATAACGGGTCAGACATCATGAATCGCTCGCCGACGATAATCCGCAAAATGGATGTGGTCGGTCGGCGCCGGGCGTTGTTAGCGCGGTAACGAGCAGGCGCCAGGCGGCCCGGCCCGGCCAGCAACAGGGCCCGGGGTCACCATCGGGTCACGGACCTCCGCGACCAGGCGGCGGCCGGGCGGGCAGCGCGCCGTGATCGAAGACACCTTCACGTGTTACCGAGGCGGCCGTCAGCGCACGCTCCGACGTCTGCCAGACCGCTGGAGACCGAAGCCGGCAGCCCAGACTCTCATACGAGGCGGCGGGCCAGTGCGGTCACCGCAGGTCTCGCGCCACACCTCGGCGACCCGGCGTCAGCCTCTCCCCTCCACCACCCTGAACAACGGCCGACGACCAGCCGGCCACGGGATAACCCAGGCCGCCAACGGCGCCGGCGGTGTCCGCACGGCGCTGAAGCGACCCACCCAGCCCGACGCGACCGATACGGAGCGATAAGCTGCCCTAGTCCCCCCCCCCCCCGTGCTCAGCCGATCAGAGACCGGCCTTCCAGTCGACCCATGACCAGGGCAGGTGGGCTCTCATCTCTTCAGCGCTCGCTGTTTGTCCCTGACTAGAAAGGCCTGCCGCCAGCGGCAGCGGCCGCTCATTCTCAGATGACGTCAGAAGCCGGGAGGACACCGTGCCCAGAATCACAGCACTTTCGCCACATTATATCTGCCGTTGAACTTGAGTTCCCCGGTCAGGTGGTGGGCTGGGGACTCACATAGCAACCACTGCCTGCCGCGAACTCTGGTTCCAGACATCCACCTAATCAAAACGTCCGGACTTAATCATCTATTGTAAAAACGCCAGCTCCAGAGCGCGCCGCCAGCCGCAGCCGTTCCGCTGCCGCCGGGACTGACCGTGGATCTTGAGGTGGCGCTGCAGGTGCTCGCGTCGGATGAAACCCTTGAAGCAGACGTTGCAGACGTGCGGCCGCTCGTTGGTGTGGATGCGCCGGTGGCGGGCCATGTGCGCCTTCCTCTTCAGCCTGACGTCACACATGTCACATTTGAATCTGTGGCACACCAGCGGCACACATCACACAGCAACCGGGCCGGCCGGCCGGCGGCGGCGCGCGGCGCGCGGCCCGGCCGGACTCGGCGGCGGTGGCCAGCTGCCTCGCACGACACAGGCTCGGACGTGTGCGGCGAGTGAGCCGATCAGACAGGGCCGAGGCGGCCGGTCGGCAGCTGCAGCGGCAGAACACAACAGCACACCACACACGAACAGTTCGTGCCTGCAGCGTTCACGTTCACCAACAGTCTGCAGCGTCATGTGGTCAGAAAGGTACGGTCGGCACATTCGCGGACATGTCGCATTCCTGTTCGGCACAAATCCCGCGTAAGACGTGTGCGCGATGCCGTTCCCGCGGTGCCCGGGCCCCACTTCGCGCCGCGTGCCCAGCCCCGCGGCCACGCCCTTGTCCCGCCCACGGGTCACGCCTGAGCCTCAGCAGGTGGATTACCCGCCACGGAGCGGCACAGCCACCTCGGGCCGAGTCTCGCCCTCGCCGACAAAAGTTGCCCTGCCAGGACTCCGCCGGCGGCGGACAACGCGCCACCGGCTGACATTAACCTGCCGATAGCGGGCGCAGCCCAACTTTGTCCGGGAAAACACCACACAACACAGACAACTGACCAAGGAGTGGCGCGCCAGCGCGACCACGTGAGGCACGACCCACGCGCGCCTTCCACCGCCCGCACGCCGGCGCGCGGGCGGTCGTGCCACACGTGCACCGTCCGTGCCGTAACCGAGGACCAGGAGCTGCGCTCTGGACCTTATCCTCCGGCGCGTGGCGCGTCCTGAACGTGCCGCCGCCTCAGCAGGTCGTGCCGACGATCGCGGACCGGGACAGCGCCCCCGGGGGCCGCCGGCAGCGCACCAGCGGGAGGCAGTCGACCGGCGGCGGCCAAAGGGACGCGAGGACGGCCAAGGGATAGGCGAATGACGATGGGGGCTGCTAAAGGGAAGGGGATCGGCGGGGCGGGACGAGAATGGGACGATCGAAGGAGAAAATGGATGAGAAACAAGAGATGAAACAGGAAAAGGGGGAGAGGAACGAATGATCCATGGACAACTGCTCCGACGATCAGGACCTTTCTCTTTAATACACTCTTAGGTGAGCGGCGATCGCCGCCGCCTACGCCGCCTGTCGCGGTTCGGGATGGCCCAGCAAAGTGAGGTGCCAAAGGCGGGGGGGGGGGGGGGAGCAGTAAGGCGACACCGGACGCCGGACGTCCGGGCGTGGCGAAGACGCGGCGTCAGCAGCCCAGCCGCCCCGGCGCCGGGGCAGGGCTGGCAGGACAGATTCGGGCGGCGGCCGGCCCAGAGCAGCGGGCCACGGCTGGCCACAGGACGGACAGGCGCGCCCGACACAGCGCTGGTCACGGCTGGCCACAGGACGGACAGGACACGCCCGACAGAGCGCTGGCCACGGCTGGCCACAGGACGGACAGGGCACGCCCGACAGAGCGCTGGCCACGGCTGGCCACAGGACGGACAGGGCACGCCCGACAGAGCGCTGGCCACGGCTGGCCACAGGACGGACAGAGCACGCCCGACAGAGCGCTGGCCACGCCACCACCGCCCCATGAACACGTCCGCTCACAAAGACAGGCTGAACAGCTCAGAAACACCAGTCGTGGCGGCTGAACTTCTCGCAAAAAGCCAGACTCATAATTTGGTCAAATGACGCGAGGGCGTAATCCTGTGCGCCCACGTCCGTCGCCACTACACACCAGCGGCCCGCCCGGGTCGCGGTCTTAACAGCCACGCATCATAACCCAGCCGGCGCCTGTGCCGCGACGGTGCGGCAGCAAGCCGCCTGGCCGACCGGGCTCTCCACTCGGGTACCGGGCCCAGATGTCACCTGAGAGATCGCTTATTTTCAGGAAGCGAGGGCAGCCACGCCTCCGAGGACCACATGCCACGAGCGCTATTGGACGGCTTGCGTGCGGCGGCCGTGGTAACCACAACACAACACGCCCAGCATAGCGCTTTGACGCCAGTCAACTCATCCCAATTTTGCAGCGAGAGCGTGTCATCTGTCGCTGCTTGGCCCACGGCAAAAAAAGGAAAACACACAACGGACTGTCACACCTATTCGATTTCACACGTGTTGTGAGGGCGTGCGAAACAAATGCAGAAAATCGGCCGACTGAAACACAACTCCAACGGCTGACAGCAATAACCCACGCAACAGCGAAATTCCAGTCGTTGTCCAACCGCATGCTCTGTGGCGGCGGTGCGGTGGACTGGCTGTGCAACACAGGGGCGAAGCATACGACACGACTGTGGACCGTCGGCCGACTGAAACGCAATGTCCATGGCTGATAGAGCCGTACCACTCCATCATTTATCCTACAGCTCATCAGCACTCCCATTCTGGACTACACGATATATTTCAGCTAGCCCAATTGCCTATCGTTGGGTGTGAAGACGAAGACAGACGATGGATGTCGACGTCTTGGACTGAAGATCTTAATTCACAAAAGGCGAGGAAAGGAAAATGTCTGTTCACACTGCGAAAGGATCTAGTTCCACGCGAATAACCTGAATAAAGCAAAGATGCGGGTGTACGATTACTTACTGGGATCGAGCACACCGAAAGCGAAGTTTCCAAGAGCGCGATTGCAGGACGAATGAGTCTTACTAAGACGGTGAAAACATTATCCAGCAAGTACCTCGGCTCGGTCGCCATGCTCACTGGAGGCCAATACCTTTGCAAGGGCTCGCGGGCTCATGCAGCTACCAGCATGGGGCGCGATTCTCCAGAAGTGTGCGACTGTGCACTTTTATGCATTTGCGCGAAAGTGGTTTGATCATGCATGTGTATCCTGCAGAACTACAATATAGTACAAATCAACACGGAACATGTACAACTCTCAGCTTGCAAAGCAGCTGACGAGCCCCGAGTCGAAATCGGTCAGAGGTGCCGGCCTGGACACGCACCGTCACGCCGTCGCATCGTCACAATCCTGACAGGGGCGCAGCCGGCACCAGCACGCTGACACGAACCTGGCTCGCCATTGGCGGAGGGTCACGGGCCCCTAGTGCCCCAGCCAGCCACCGATGGTGTGTTTCTGGGGACAGGTGTCGGATCTGGTCCTCCAGGGCAAGTCAATCACAAGCAGAGCTGGACTCGGTCTGCAGACTGCCGGCAGTGGACTGGCAACTGGCCAACGTGCTCTGTTCTTAAGCTAATCTCGAGTACAACAGGCCGTGACCTCACTGTACACAGATTATTCGGCTGTGCAAACGGCACGGACACACCATCCTGTTTACTTCGGCCATTACCAAGCCAAAACATTTGCGGTTTTCGCAAAATCTCGGTCGTAATCGTCAAATCAGTAAATCAATGCGACTTCCCTGTCTTCGCCGACTCATATTACCAGATTGTCTGGCACCTCACAAAACAACAGCCAGACGCATGTCTCCGCCAGTTCCCTGCAAGCCTAGTGTCGTGCAGTTTATAACGCAGTGAGCTAGGTGGCTGGTTCAGAAGCAGTACAGCACTTAACGGGCCGAGTGGAGCGGCAGAGCCGAGCCGTGAAGACGCGTTCGGGGGCCGGCGCGGCCATCCGGCGGACTGACGGCCGTCACGCGCAGGTACCTGCCTCGCAGACGCCGCGCGAGGTGACGTCGTACTGATTTCCGGCTGTGCGGTCCGAACCAGTGTCCTCCTGGCCGCGACGCCAAACAACACATACCCGGCTGGACAATGGGCAACGTTTTAAAGCAGACTCGCGCAGCGTGCGCCAAATCAGCAGCGCACGCTGTACTGCGAGGAACGAGCACGAGCGCGCGTTCTGCTGCGCTCCTACCCGTCCACCAACCCACAGACAGCAGCGTGCGACACACGACCAACAAGACCGCTGTCGTCGACTGGGCGGGCGCGACGTCATTGCGCTGCACTGACGCCGGCTGAGCCTGCCGCCCACCGGCTCTCCGCGCCGCACCGACACGGCGCCGCGGCGTACCCATCGCTGCGCGCTGCCGTGACGGCCGTCATCGCGCCCGGCCCACTCAGGGGCGGCCGTGCCTCGCTGCTCGTGGCGGCTCTGACGTGACGGCGGCGCCGGCCAGCCGCGAGCTCGGGACGCCGCCGCGGCCGATCCGCTCCGTGCAAGACGTGCAGCGGTGAGCCCGGCGTCTTGAGCAGTCGGAGATCAAGGGGAATGGATTCAGAGAACTGACCCACCAAAGCCAATATAAACTGGTCCATCAGCTACGGCAACCATATTAGAACCAGCAATCCTTAAAACATCGACCTGTTCTGTCATGCACGACTGACTCTTCCAGAGCAGCTGTGATTCCGAGCAGCCGTGATTCCCCCGCAGCTGTGATTCCCCAGCGGCCGTGATTCCAAGCAGCTGTGATTCCCGAGCAGCTGAATATCAAACAGTGTCCGTACCCTTTGGCCGTATCCACAAGACACCGACGCCAGGGTGAATCGGTCAACAGCTTGGAGGGCGCTCGACAAACCCTTCCAAGATGTACCACATTCGATGCCGAAAAACTGATGGCAACTGAGCGACATGTCCGAAAGTGGATCACCAGTGTCCATGGTAAGCGACCAGCAGCATCCGTGGTAAGCGATGAGATCTATCTGCCGCAGGGTCGTGAGCGGGCAGCGCCAGCGCCCCTGACGGCGAACGCCCGTACTAATAGCGTCGGACCCTGGCGGCGATTGCGGAACAGCGCGCAGACACAACACCGCAGATCTCTTGCTGCAAGACGTGTTCCCAGTTAACGCCAGCGTGTGGCGCGCGATGCTGGATCCCCGTATTGGACGCTGCACATTCTCGCCACCTAGCAGTGCTCCTCCTCTTGCGGTGAAAAGCTCTATTTGCGGATTATCACTCGCGCGTCTGAATGGTCTCGTGCGCCAACACGCCGCGTGCGTCCTATGGCTTGTATCCGTGCTTTGATCCGTCCCTCTACGCGTCCCATCCCGTCCGTGTCGTGCTCCCGTCTCCCCGCCCCGCCCGTGACATCCCCACACTGTGGCGACCCCTGCCCCTCCCGGCCGGCGGCCACTCACTCGTGTCGTGCTCCTGTCCCCCCCCCCCCCCCCCATCCCGAGACATCCCCACACTGCGGCGGCCTCTGCCCCTCCCGGCCGGCGGTCACTCACTCGTCGCCGTCGACTGGCTGGCCGTCACCGCCTAGCCGGTGGCAGTGGTGCTTGTGGAGCGCCAGCAGGCCGCGCGCCGCCTCCTCCGGCCCGGACGCTGGCTCGCGTTTGATCTCCAGTCCCTGCCAGCCGTTCTCTTTCTCAGCGTCATCGGCCTTGGCGGCGGTGGCGCCGGCGGTGGCGCCCGACACGGGCGGCGCGGTCGCCGGCGGCGGCGGCGGCGGCGCCGGGCCGCGGTGCGCCGGGTGCGGCACGAACACTCCCGGCCGCGGCGCCAGGAAGTGCGGTGCGATCGGCCCGCTGAAGCCCGGCAGGCCGAGCAGGTGGTCGATGCTGATGCGGGGCGCCGTGGCGACCGAGACCGGCGGCGGCGCCGCCTGGCCGCCGGTCGACTCCAGGTAGACGGTGGGCGGCGCCGGCGCCTCGCGACCCATCAGGTCCGAGATGACGTCGGCGGCGCTGGTCGGCGGCTTGGACGGTCCTGGCGCCGGGTAGCTGTCGCGCTCGCGCTGGTGCCGCTGCGCCTCGTTCTGCAGCATCTGCGAGAGCATGGCGATGCTCTCGACCTCCTCGGGCGCCGAGTGCGCTGTGGGCCGGACCCAGCGTCAGTCGCCATCAACGGGCGGTCGGCGCACGTGCGCTCCATGCGCCGAGGCACAACACGCGTTCTGCCCACGCGGTGCGAGCGACAAACAGGGAAGGCCTGGATGACCCCGGGAAAGGATAGCGCGCGAACACTTCGCCAGCAGGATGAGGTTCAGTGCGGGGGTGTCACGCACGATCAGACTAGGGGCCATGACCCCGGGATGTGGATGTCCGACGCTGTGTTGTGTCCTTACCTGTGCGATAACCTCCGCGTGGCCCGACCAGGCAAAGCCGGACGAAGCCGGCTTCGGCTTCGCGAGGCCGAAGTTTCCTCCCATGGCTTCGGCTTTGGGTTCGACGTTGCGGCATTTTAAACTGAGTTTGACTCAGGCTTCCGCTAAGTTTTAAATAATGCCCCCCCCCCCGCATCAGTTCTTTGCGAACTTGAACTGCCAGCTTGGCTTAGATACGGTAATTTTTCACAGCAATTATGGCTTTACTTACTTTTACATGATTTTACAAACCATGCAAACGCGTTTTAAAGCTGATGGGCTTGGCGTTGGTCCAATGCTCCCCTATCTCCAAGCTGCTAGCTTTGGTTTCACTTTCGCGCATTCAAAGTTTGAAAGCACCAGGTTCGGTTTCGACATCGCAGTTTCAAGCCTTGAAACAGTCGGTTTCCGCTTCCGCTTCGCCTTCGGCTTCGGCTTCGGCTTTGGCTTCGGCCTCGACCCGGACTTCGGCTTCATGCCATCGTCTCCGTCCCTCCCCTCTCGTCCCACTTCGGCCCCATGCCATCGTCTCCGTCCCTCCCCTCTCGTCCCACTTCGGCTCCACGCCATCGTCTGCGTCCCTCCCCTCTCGTCCCACTTGAGCTCCACGCCATCGTCTCCGTTCCTGCCCCCTCGTCCCAACCATCCAGCCCGGCACAGTTTCATGGCGCGTCACTGTTACTATCACCCTTTAAAACCCCTGTGAAACCAACACTTGCGGTGTCGCCCTTAGGACACACGCGCAGCTGGGCCAAAAACTTCCGGCACCGTGGATTATTCGTCTTTCACATCAAGTGACCAAGAATCCCACGACACTAAAATCTAGAAGCATCGTGTCCAGCAGAATACAGCTCTCCCCCGGCGTGTTCCCGAAGGTCCCCGTTAGCTCCAGTGTTGGTCAGCCCGGGTCGGCTCACCTGTGACGTAAGCGGGGCCGCCGTGCTGCGCGCTACTCCGGCCGCCGCTGGTCGAGTCCGTCTGCGACACGTGCGCCGCGTGCAGCTCCGCGTGCGCCATGCTCGTGGCAGGCGCAAACATGGCTGAAACGGGCGGACGGCTGCAATGACGCGCCACGCGCGAGAGGATCACCGTCGCTGGGGGGAGGGGGGGGGGTCCGTGTCACGCCACCGGGTGTCACTGCGGCACATCGGAGACACCCATCCCGCTGAGGAGTCCGTGTCACGCCGCCGGGTGTCACCGCGGCACATCGGAGACACCCACCGCCGCTGGGGGAGTCTATGTCATGCCGCCGGGTGTCACCGCGGCACATCGGAGACACCCACCGCCACTGGGGGAGTCCGCGCCACGCCGCCGGATGTCACCGCGGCACGTGGCACCATCACATCTGCCACAGGGATGCACGCCACTCAGAGGCATCCGGCTCTGCGGTACAGCTCACTGCAGCGTCCCCACTGCCGTGGTGTCCGTCGCCCATCACTGGGCGCAAACCACTGCGGCATGCGTCGACCACAGGCCTGTTACTGATACAGCAACTACCCAGTCAGCAGTCACACGTCACTGCCACACCAGTCACATGCAACACACAGAGTCGTCGCTTGGCCTCTGGTTACTGGGTCACAGGCTATGGATTGTTGGGTCATGGATCATTAGTGTCGGGTCATACAGACCACTGACTCCCGAATCGTGTACGCGGCTGGGACACAGGACAGGCCGCTGACACACTAGACGCTCCCGACGGATCATTGGTACCCCACCGTCACACACAAGCTGGACGTGGCTGGGACACAGGGCAGGCCGCTGACACGCTGGCGCGCGTAGCGCTTCTCGCGGAACTCAACGCATCACGTCAAAATTGCCGTATGCAATGTCACAGTGACTTTGCAAAATATATCTGGTGGTTGGAGGGTTTTGAACCAGAAGCTTTTGAGCCAAGGTTTTATGACTGCAGATTGCATCACTTACGCCTTCCAGTGATCAAGTGGTAGGTCAACTGGCCACAGACAGTGGGACAGAGTGACCAGCAGCTGGGTAATGCAGCTCCACATTGTGATGAGGTTGACAATCACATGACTGAACTACTCTAGTGGGTAGAATGGCCAAATCAGCCAACACACTCCTACACACAAATAACTGAGCTCCTCTGAGGGCTGCTGGCATCACACTGCTGGGGAGAGGGTCCCAGTTCAACAGTCACTGGGCCAGTCACTGTGCCAGGGTCAGTACTCACAGGTCAGTCAGCCCCACTGGACCAATGTCACAACCTGGTACAACAGCACAACATATGCACTGTGGGGAGCTCAACAGTGACAGCACCTTCACCTGACAAGTGGCAGGGACTGAGGCTGGCAGTCACAGTCTACCTGCTCAGTAATTGCGGGTGATAAGCAATGTTGCTGGATGGCTGTGTCCCTGCCATTCATAACTGAAACCACCTTATGCCCTCCAGAAGCCAGGCAGGCAGGCAAGCAGGCAGGCAGCATGCAGAAATGGAACATGGCAATGCCTACACAGGCAGGCATCAGTCTATGTTATTAAAGATAACCCTTGTGATGTTTATTTAGATCAATGACTAAATCGTCAGCATCCCATGCAACTTTAAAAAGATAAGTTTGCAGCTCAATGCCAAGTGGTGTTAAGGATGCTGGTAATAAAAATACTGTATTGCCACAAGCATAGGAGCCATGGCCCCTCCACATGATGTTTGGAGGAATATTTGGTCATATTCAGTCCATCCATTTCAATTAAAAACAAATATGATCACATGAATGTAAGAATCAGTGAGAAAAGCTAAAATGCCCAATAATGTATGCCATGTATGACCACAATTCAATGAGCATCACTCAACCTGTTCCTGCAGTTAACAGAAACTTTTCACCTTGTGATGAGACCCAGCCTTAATATTAACCCCACATCATTATATGGGAAGATATGTGTGCAAATCCCCATGTCTTCCACTTCCCTTCAAATGAGCCACTGGGACTGGAATCAGGCAATGTTTATCAGAGATGCCTGAGTTTAACAAAACTCCCCAAATATTTGCTCCCCAAAAATAAGGTCATTAAAACATAGGCTGTGTGCAACTGTGGCAGGCAATGCTCACTGCTAATTGATACATGTACCACAAAATGACACAACATACCTGGTGCCAGATGCTCGCAATATATAAGGAGCATACATCACCTGTATACTGGATGGAAATATCCTGTCCTTGCATATTTGACTGTGTATTATGAATGATATGAGTAAATATAAGTCATCTGCCAACATAATTCATTTTGGTTTACTTTTATGCCTGTCATGCATCCCAAATTTCCCTGTAGACTGCACTTGGCAAGAGCTAGCTCAGGTTGTCATGTGCCAAAGATACAAAATGATCAAAAATGATCAAGAAGTTTTACAAGATTCCAGGGACCAAGTTTGGTTCAAAGCCTTGATTGATCAAGTTTCAACAGGACATAGATCTCTGGCGATGATTAGGAAATTATAGTTCAGGAGGTCAAACTGCAACAGACATGACCAAGTTGCACTTATCAAACACAACAATGCAGCGTGGGAAAAACCTCCGTTTTCTGGTGGATGTGACACCAGGAAATTTTGTACTCCAGGCTCTTGACTGGTAAGAATGACAATTTTTGTACTCCAGACAAACACTGCAGTCACCCCACAAAGCAGACACCATTGCAAATGTATGAGCCTAAGTATAGGTACCAAGGCAGACAGTTTTGCTTTCTTGATAGCCAGGAGGGTGCATGAACTTTGCTTTCATAAAGTGAGTTATAACTTTTATCTGATTTCCAGGGACCAAACATATGGAGCACCAAGAAATGGAGACAAGCATCTGCAATCCTGCAGGAGCTGGCCAATCCAGGGTGTTCATGTTAATGTCCTTCATCATTGTATTACATGGGCTAGATGCACTTGTATTGTACAAGCCTATGCAACTCCTAAATGGTGATGACAACTCATGTGAGTTACTTCCGTGGGAATGAAATAAACTGAAATATGAAATGTGCTTGTTTTAAGTACCTACTGCTACCACATACCTTGCATGTCATTACCTGTGGGGAAAATATATGGTGCACCTAAGTAAGAAGACCACATTCTCCACGACGCACACACCCACCGATAACTTTCAAGAAACAGACAAACATCACGGCTCTGGCTCCCACCACGCGACGAACCCATCGCCTCCCGTACCCGAAACCAGCGGCAGCCCAGCCTCCTGCAACTGACGAGTTATATGGCGCACCTGAGTAAGACCGCATTTTCCACGACGCACACACCTACCGATACCTTTCAAGAAACGGACAAACATATCACGGCTCTGGCTCCCACCACGCGACGAACCCATCGCCTCCCGTACCCGAAACCAGCGGCAGCCCAGCCTCCTGCAACTGACGAGTGCACTTTCGAGCAGTGAAGGTCCGGGTCGCAACAGACACCCACAACAATATTCGTTCGACCAGAAACCACTAGCAGCACCAAAATCACCGCTGGCACATCTTTTTCAACTAGGTCATTCAAAGACTCGCCGAGCAAGAAGTCCAGCATGCCAACTATGCTCTTAACTTACCTCATATTAAGATAACATGTTAGCGATTTTACCAAAGGACGTGCATCTTGCAAACAGTTTGGTGGGAAAATTCCAAAGATTGCAGCATTGCACATCCTTTTCAAAGCCCTTGTTTCATTCCTGCTCCTGCCATACCAGCCACCAATCACCATCCAACTTGCAATTAAACTCAAAATCATAGCATTCAAACACACCACATATCGGCACTTTTGAGATCGAATCATGACATTAAATGGCACCCAAGTATCACGTTTGTGGGTGGCACTTTTGGTGGTAACGGCTTCTTTTGGGTTCTTAAATGTCATCGGGAATTACGTTCCCAAAATGGGAGTTTGTGGCATGCAGCATTCCAAAACTTATTACAATTGTATAAATGATAGTAAGTCAACCACTTTTTCAGAAATCGGTAGATGCCGGTCTTTGAAGATTCGAGGATATCTTACTTATTTAACAAGGGTATCACGTCTCCAGGCTCAACCAGTACCTATACTTGTAAGATAGAGATGGTCCATAACCCGGTGGGAAAAAATCGCAGTACTTGGTTGCCCTTCTCACAATGGGGCCTATAGGGAGACCCGGGGAGAACAAGCCGGAGTACAAGCCGGAGAACAGCAAGTTTTTAGCAAAGTTAGCCAAATTTAATTAAAAAATTGACGTGTTTTGGTATCGTCCAGATACGGGCCTTCCTCAGAGGGTGTTGAAATGGCATGATATGCCTTAGAATGAGAAATATCTATAGATTTGTAGTACAGGTACTGCATTATCTCGGCGTTGTCTTGTGCCACCAGAAGATAATATATATTTGTAGGTGGAAAATAGCAACTTTAAATGCATGACTGTAAAGCTCTATGATTTTTCTACCGCAAACTTAACAATTTGTGTTGCTGCAACTGCATAAATGGTTTTTCTTAGACTATTCATCACAGCCTGTCATTTCAGGACCGACCCGTGGTACTTGTACTTGGTTGCCCATTGACGAGTGCTAGAATGTCATCACAATGTCTGTGAATGCGCCAGAACTCCTGTGCATGGTTTGGTTGTTTGTCTTGATGTGGTGGGAGTGAGGAGGGCGGAAGGTGAGTGAAGATGCTTGGGATTATGTGCATCGTAGCTGCGAGTTTGAGGTATTCAGTGAGAAAAAGTGGAATTGGTTGTCTTCAATTTTCACACAGCATGTATCCACACTTCTAAAATTACTTGGGATTTAGTTTTGGACCGCTATTAAGTCATTCCAAAAAAGGTAAATAAATACCGGGGGACTGATCTATAAATGTTTACCACTGCAGGCTGGTGCAGAATCACCTTGGTATAACCTGCTCTACCTACAGCATGGTGGGTAGGTACGTAGGTACTAAGGTATCTATATACAACATAAATGCTAGGCTTGGGTTTCCCATGTGGGATCAAATATGAGACTGGCCTCTTTTCAGCTTGTGGTCATAATTGCTGTAACCTGACAGGAGGCAATGCTGCCATGTTCCTTGCTGTCAGGCATAAGGTCTTGCAGTGACAGTATTAAAATTGTCTGTACATAAGATCATAGGGAACTTGGAGAAGAGGAGAGGGATAACAGGAGGTGCAGGGAGAGAGGAGGAGCAGAAGTGGAGGAGGAGTGGAAAGAGAAAAGTGACAGAAAGAGAAGGTGAGGAACTGAAAGAGGAGAAGAGCAGAAAGAGAAGGATAGGAAGAGGAACACTTTTGGTATGTTTATATTAATTATGTAAAGGCCGAAAGGACAACATGTTAGTGATGTCACATACATAAGGCTTTCATAGACAGTTGCACCTGCCTAAGACTCATTAAAAAACCAGGGTGTGATGCACAGTGGTTGTCCGCAACTTAGTTTGTCAGTAAGCAGAGGATGCACCTGATTTATCATTTTGATATTGTGTAAGTTTGCATGTAGATAGGTAATAATAAGTAACTGAGCTTTGTATGATGCACCTGTGAATGCATATGTATAAAGTTTTGTTGTTAACCTCTCAACTGTATATTTCTTATTAACATGTACCATTAAGCAATCTTTGCATGTATAGGTGAGCTAGTAGCACTACAGAAATATGAATGGGATCAGTGTGGCACCCTCACTCACAAGAAGTGCTCTGTTCCATGGAAATGCAAAATTGCATGCTGACACTAATTTTTGCCAGAAAAACAATGGGAAAATGTTGACCCATTAAAGGCAGTATGTGATGTACTCCAAGCAAGGCCCATTGTGCGGACACTCATTCCACATTAGACAGACCTTTGCTTGCAGGCAAGTTTGTACTCCGACCACAAAAATTTTTGTACTCCGCCACCAGCAAAAAAAACTAAATTTCCCACCCTGCAACAATGTTGGAACTCAGGCCTGCCAATGCCCAGTTATAAGAAGCATAGCTGCAGTCATGAAATATCCCAATTTTTCAACACCTTTTTGAAACAAGCATACACAGGTCAGGAAAAAGACATCTGCTTGTTGGAAATGGTACATGCAATTTTGCACTCCGGCATGAGAAAATCATGTTACCATAATTCAACTATTTCAATGCAGTCTAAAGAGTGCCAGTGAATGACATTTCTCACCATGCATGCATGCATGCATACATGCATGCATGCACGCACGCACGCACGCACGCACGCACGCACGCACCCACACATCAACATAATAAAAGTCACCTTAGCATGTTAAAGTGCCACACATTGTGATCTTGGGCGCAAAGCTCTCCAAATGTATTCTATTCCAGAGCCAAATAATTATGTTTTCACATTTCGTCAGCACTGCATTTCCACTGCTGAGGTATATGTCCTGGCATCTTTTATCCTCCTGGGGCCATCTTATTCAAATGAGCATACGAGCATGTCAGGAAGCTGCAAAAAAATCTGATTAAAACTTCTTAATACTTTGCAGATAAATTACATCAAATAGTGTGTCGAGATACAACATCAACCTTAATCTTATACCAATATTTTTATTCAGATACTCTACATTTGGCAGGCAGGCTACTTTTCAGCTTGGTAACATTCTTCACCAGATGGCAAAAAGTGTCAAATTACTGGGTCTTGAAACTGTACCTCTTGCACTGGTTCATGGTTCAAGAACTAAAACTTTGGTTCAGGTCCTGCTAAAGGGACCCACATTTTCTGCAGAATCTAGTGATGAATGGCACCAAGCTGCAGGATGCCAGAGCCCTCATCCACCAATACAGCATTATCTTAATAAAAACAACCTTACATGAGCATAGGTGGCAAACTTGGAGGAGGTGAAACAGGAGGTAGAGGTGAAACAACCTTTCATGTCTAACATACCACGACTGGCATAGTCCATCCTACCACTGACCGCAGGCCTTGCTTGTCAAGGGCAAGTATGTATGCTTCTTTAGTATCACAACATGCAGTTCCTTCCGCTGTGCCAAATGATAAAAACTCTTTATGAAAAACAGCCTTTAGGGCTTATATGGCTGCCATCTATGAAGCTTCCAACTTCAGTGAAGGTTCTTCAGATGCATACAATTTACCAATGACCAGCCCAGGCCAAAATTGTTTAAAAAAAGTTATTTTATTAATAAAACTAAAACCTATAAAAACTGAATGCTCATTTAAGATGTGGATAGACCCCAATCCACAGACACAGGAAACACACCAGCACAATTGCCTTTCTTTGTTGTTTTTTGGTTTGCTTTAATTGCCCACAACAATTCTAGCTGTTCTGAGACCAATTTCAGCAGTCTTGATCAAATCAATGTCAAAATTTATTACAGCCCATCTCACAAAAAAACTGCATTTTCACAGGAACATTGTAGGAGAACACAGCACCCATCAGAACAATCAGAACAAGAGCAACACCAAGACTGATGGACCACCTTTTCTTTCCAAATGAAATAAATTGTGATTTTGAACCAGCAACAGGCATCATCCATACCAAAAATGCTTATGCGCTGGTGGGACAGTACAGATGCATGATGCATGATGATAATGATGATGATGATATGTGTACAAAGTAAGGAACACTATCAGTGTGTTGTTTTCACATTTATATCATGCATCTTAACACAATTCAAGAAATTAAAATGTTATGCTTCAAACCCATGACATTATCACCCAGGGGCTAGCAGCGGGATACCAATCAACTAATCATAATAAAAACAGTGATGTTTAATCCCCAGAAAGTATATATCGGGCACACAGACCAGCCCAATCAGGTTGGCTGATATCATTTATCAAATTTCTAATGAGTAGATGGGCTTCAGTAAAGTTTGCATGCTAACATGATGCATGTAACATGTAAAGGCATAAGTACACCTAGTGCTACAATCCATCACTCATTCACTCTGTGGCATGTGGCAAATGCTAATTTCTTGTGCCCCAAACTTAGTTTTGCAGGCATCCAATTCAATAACAAGAAAGTATGTGCCATGGCTGGCTAGTGCTCAATGCCCATGACACTCCTGATAACCCTCAGCCTAACAAACAAAAAAACATTCCCTTCTGTGCCATGGGAAAACAGTGCAAGGATGACATACATTAAGTTTCAGGAATAATGGGGATGTGAGTGTAAGGGCAGGGCTCAGAAGAACATAGGTGTAGAAGCTTCTCTAGCAGTATCATGATAAAGAAAAGGGCTAGGTTTGGTTATGTCAGTTTCAGGTACCCACATAACCTATTTATTCTAGGAGGCATAGCAGCTAAGTTGCTAGGTCCTTAGATCCCCAAATGGAGAACACATGTTCAAATTCTGACTGTGCCATGGCCCCTACACACTTAACATGGTGAATGCAGTGACAGGCATTCTAATTAAGTGGGTGCAACAATACATGTCATACTCTTAATGAGCTAATTCTATAAGTTTTCAATCATTGCAAAAATGATTTCAGAATTATTATAACATGCACATTGATATCACCCCTGGTCTAGTCTGAAAGAGCAGGTACATGTAATCTACCAATAATACTTGTAAAAGTAACATCAAAAGTCCTTCCACTCAAAAATAGAGGGGGACATTATGTATCCACCAAAAATCCAGTTATACAATTGATGTCAACGAAGTCTGATATTTCACCCAAAGAGAACCACTCTTTGCTTCTGTAAAGCTTAAAATTAAAAAAAACAAAATAAAGAGCAGCAAAAGTGACAAAACTTGGCATGCTGGATTCAACCTATGACAGGCCAACAGAAAGCAACATGACCTTGACATAGTTTGAAATCTGAATAATGCCCAGAGTTGAACCAGCAAAGCTTCCAGCTCTGGTCTCCAAGCATGAAATAATCATACGATGTGAGCTTGCAATATGCAAAGAAATGCACAGGCCCACACCGATAATTTCGGAACCGTCCAAATCTGCACGCTGAACTCCTTTGTGGCGCACCCCATTCGCTCCAGGACTGCACCAGACACGAACGCGTCCATGCAGCCTTCTAATCGGTCGATAACCTTTACCTGTAAAGCAGTTGGGATGAAAATGCAATACTTAACAATACATCTTCCTCTCAGTCTACACTGCCCGCCACCAGAAAGCCTGATCTTGCATTTATAAGCAATATTTACCCGCCTCCTTCCTTTTGCTATCTTCTTTGTCAACGGCCATATTGCATAGAGGTGAAAGTAGCCAAACATGTTTTTTCATCCAAACACGGTTAATTTGTGGCTAATAGACACAAATTCTGTGTTTTTATTTAAACACTAATGAATTAGCCTCGATTTAAGAATTTTGGAAGCATTTTTAAGTCAAGTTGATTTTTTCGCTACTAATTTGAAGCATGCTCGAAAGACAGGTCTACTAAATAATTATTCGCTTTAGCCAATGCCGCAACAGCAAAAATTTCTTGAATCATTTTCGTTTCAGGTGGAACTGTAACTAAGAAGACCAGAAGGCTGAACATCCTTCTGATGCAAAATTCATGGCATTGCATCATTGGCCCCATGGACATTGAATGGAAGGAAACAATCACAAGTGGAAAAACGCCTCCTCTACCCCTCTTACGTCTTCGGAGGCAGGGGAGCAGCCAAGAGAGGGCCTCAACCACCTTGGCCATGTTTTTTGCTTTCCTTATGCAAAGAGAGATCCCGACAAAAGGCCAAAAATTGGCGCGGCACGTATCCGCCATTCTTCGGCCCCTTTTGAGAACATCCTGACTGCGCCCCTGATCAGACATCCGTTGCCGCTGCGAAGTGCAGCCAAAAACACGATTTGCCGTGGCCGCACTAGATGACATATTGGTTCTGATTGTGTATGTTTTCAATCGACGTTATCTAAACGTTTCCGCAAGATTGCATGAGATGCGTGAAACAGTGGCCTTTATGAACTGTTTTCATTACACCAACAGTCAAATGAGCTGCCTTCCTTCAAAAATATTTCTATGAGGATTTTTTTTTTAAAAAGCCGCAATTATGGGTGGCCGAGAAAGCGAAACGGATGGGAGCGATCGGATTGCACGGCTCAAATTGTGTAACAAATGATAAAAGTGAGAGGCGCGTCAAGCGTCGGGAAGCGCCATTTACGTGCTCGAGAGCATATGCCAGATAGGGCGGGCGCTGGATTGACCGGGGCTCCATTATTAAGCACCATTGGTAGATGATGAATTCGGCGCTAAACGAATGATACCGGGTATCGTAAATTTGAATCGAAAGTTTTTTTTTAGTATACCATCAATTGTAGTTTTGGAAGCTGCCGCCAAGAAGAGTGTGTTAAGCAAATACCCGCCGACATACGGCATATTTTTGGGTGTTGCTGAGATTCATAGGTCGAGGGTGTCTGTCACAAGGACTTAAGTCCATTGTAAATTGTTCCTAGGTTTGGTGTTAGCCATGCCTAAAAGTAAGAGACTGTGTTCTTACATTGGCTTTCTATGTGTATGGACTTGTATGTGATTCCTGTGATGTCTGAAATGGCTTGTTTTTCACCATTATGTGGTTGTCTCATTTACTACCCACAAGCCAGTCTGCAGATCATGGCAGGGAAGGTGATAAGATGCTTCATGTGGCCTGAATTTCTGATGATGGCAGGATGACTGCACAGATCAGTTTTTGTTTAAACCTGCTATGGTTTGCAAATTGGTTGATGAGTAGGACAGTTTCACTTGTTGTCTGTTGGCTGACTAATATGTTAAATGCCCCAATAATTCACAATTTAGTTTGTGGCAGATACAGTTCAAAGTTCACCATATTAATTTGTGTTTTCTTGGCATAGATGTAATTAGCTGTTAATAAAAACAAATCAGTTTGCTTTGAATGTATTACTTTTTAGTAAGTAGTAAGGTAACATGCTTACTTTGGTGTTTCTCAAAACTACCAGCCTACTTGTTTCATTGTATTAATTTGCTGTTTGACCAGTTCTCATATTTGTAGTGCTGGACCTATTTCCTTTGCATGCTACCTGTCTGGTACAAACATGACACATACAGTGCTACTTCCATTATAATTTATAAAGTTGACAACCATCCATTATAACAAGTGTGCAATGCACTTTGTCAAATGTGATTTCATAAAATTAGACAAATTATCATCTTGCACCCACATTTTGCAAATGGATTGTACTTGACACTGTCTATTGGAGGCTGTTGAAGAAAGTTATTCCTGTTTACTTCCTACTACTGAGCCAACTGAACAATGACAGCAGTAAAAAGGCAGCTGGCCAATTAACACCAGTTGATCACATTGAGATACAGCCACCACTGGTGTGCCCCATGGTTTGGTGCTAAAGCAGGTACTTTTCATGTCTTAGGCAAGCAAATTTTCAAAATTCCCTTGGGAGTAAACTAAAAATTCTGGCAGAAATAACAAGGCTCATGATGTGCTTTTGCACTGAAGATAAAAGTGATTATAACTATGAAGGAGCTTCTGTTACAGGTAGAGGACTATTACCCATTGGGACATTGGAATCAACTGGTTGTTAAAATTAAATCAAACACAATTTGTAATTGATTGATATTTAATGGGGCAGGTTATCAAATTGATACTCTGGCCAGAAAAAAAGGCTTTGAAGACAGCAATGAAGCATGATTTAGTAATCTGCACTGTAACTCTCTGCACACCTTCTACAAAAACTGAGTTGTGATTAAGTGATGTGTCTGAAACAATATCGAAGATGTTATTGCTTATGGCACATGTGTGTTTACAGATTTATTGGGTGTGGTTTTGATCCTTATATCATTGTGCATGAGTGTATTAACTTAGGTTTAGCTTCTGTCTGTTTGTAACATTATGTTTCCTCCTCCCACAATGCCACCTAGAAATCTGCAAATGATACCCTTTCAATGCCTTGTCCCTCCCACAATTGCATACAGCACCAGCAGGTCCACCAGGCAACCCCTTTCTCCTGCCACCGGCAGGCAAGCATAAGGGCAAGCATCGGGTGTTCTCGAACCCAGAACAGCTGGAGGAGGAGAAGAAACGAGAGGAGCGTGAGCGAGAGTGGCGCCACAAGCGAGGCGAGGAGAGTGACTCTGAGTCTGGCTCCAGTTCTGACTCAGACTCATCCAGCAAAGACGAGCAGAAGGTGCAGGGTTTGAGAAGAAGGCGCGGAGTCAGAGCAGATCACCAGCTGGGTGCTGAAGGCGGGGCTTTGCTAGTGGTGGTTGGTTTGACCGATGTGTTTGTGCCCCGAGATGTCCTGATCCGCTAAATGTGAACCGTGACTGGTCACGACGTCAGTTGCAGTCAACGGCGTCACAGCGGGACAATCTAACGGTTGGTGGGTGTCATGCACGGTTGCCCGCGAGATGTATGTTGTCTCTGGATGTGGGGCCTTCTTCTCATGATGTGGGAGACACCCAGTTTTAATGTCACAATGCTCCTCCGAGTCATCATCTGGCTAGTCCCATGACGTGGAGTTGATACATCCACGCTGTACATACATCCACGCTGTCCGTACACCGACCCCACTGAAAACTTGGCAGGCCGCAAAGCCCAAGGGTCCGCAAGGGCCGGTGGAGAATCCGAATCGGGTGCAGCAGAAGAACAAGAAGCTGTCTACGCTGACGGTGGACGAGAAGGCGCCGGCGCAGCTGTCTCGTCGGGAAAAGTACGGAGCGCGTGACGCTAACTGGACCAGCGCCTGGTGGGGCGGAGGCGCTCGCGTCAGGAGGGAGTCGTGTCTGGCCAGGAAGGGTTCAGTTTTTGGGCAAAAGAATGCAGCCACTCTGGTGACATAAGCTGTGGTGATGTATATTTTGATCGCGTATTTTATTGTGGTTGCACAGATCATTAGCAGCGGCATCCGTATTACTCTGTGTATATACAGTGTATGTAAATGCTGCCTCGCACTCTGGATGCCCGTCCCATTTCGTCCGTTCACTCGGGCGCTCGCCCGCTCGCCCGCTGTGCGCCGCCGCTGCTGCCGTTGGCCGCCAGCGGCGCGTTTGGTCCCACCGTGCGCCGCCCGCCGTAGGGAAGCGATCGAGAAGGAGAGGGCGCGCCAGCACTACCAGAAGCTGCACGCCGAGGGCAAGACGGCGGAGGCGCAGGCTGACCTGGCCCGGCTCGCCATCATCCGCAAACAGCGCGAGGAGGCCGCCAAGAAACGGGAGGAAGAGAAGAAAGGTGAGGTCCGCCGCCGTTGCCGAACTGCGTTTGTGTTGCGGTGCTGTTCAAGCTAACCTGTGCCCTGAAAAAATCCGAGGCCAAGCGCGGGAAAGTGGAGCCATCTCCTTTTGGTTGACACTGCATCTCTCCTTTCATCATCAGCTCGCTCACTTCTCTGGTATTTGCATGACGATTCGGTTTGTACGTTAGCCTTTCGCGTCTCCGCTGCCGTGTAGGAATGGCAGGTAGCTTTATGGGAGCACTAAGGCTTAGTGCCATATGGTGACGGGGCTCTCGGCTGAACGGCAATATGCAGAGATGGTGATTGTCTGATGTTTTGTGCGTTTTGGGACTACAGTGGTTCCACTCACATAACTTTTGGGTGGCTTAAAAAATATTGGGCTGGGAAACATTTCAAGGATCTGGATCAATTAAGACAGCATAAAAGCTTGACTTGCTTGAGCTGGACTTTGTAACGCCGGGATGTTCGTGAATGCGGTGATATGTGGGCTGCTCGGCACAGTTCTTCCGTTTGTTTTGCAACTCGAAGCCAGGTTTACAGCACGCAGTGCCGTGCAGACCGCGTTGGCGGCGGGAGGTTGAGGGAGACACTTGCGTGTTGTCCTGTTACAGTTTGATTATGGCCGTTCTCGCGGTGGGGACGGACCCATGCGTAACGGAAGTTCCATGCTACTGAGTGGATGTTTTGCTTGCTTAGGCTGGGGCCTGTTCGCTTGACACTTGCCAGATGTCGGGCGAGTGTGACATTGTCATGTTTGTTCATTATTATGTCTTTAACATGCACGCTTATAAGCAAGATGGGCATTGAGCTTGTGGTTTTACACCATTGTGAGACTGGAGTTCTTATGCCAGCAATAATCAATCTACAGTATACCAGGAGATACTGGATGAACAGTGCTATGAGGTGTCTCCTGGTATAACGGCAATGTCTCCTAGTATAATGAAAGTTCATTATTGTCAGCATAAAAACTCACTTATAGCCTTGTTAGTTTTAATCAAATCCCCGCAAATGGTTGAAGGGCAAATGGATTTAAGTTATCCTAGGCATGTCTGTGCGTGGATGAGACGGTAGCAATAGCTGTATTCGTCGGAGGGAAACCAGAAAAACCAAACCGAAAACCAATTCCAATTCTTAGATATGCACTATATTGTACTAGTGGCTGGCAGTTGCTCCTTGTTTAATCCCATGAATGTTGGTGTCCATAAAACCTGTGGCTTGCCGTTTAAAAAATCTGAATAATCGAGTAGGATCATCGGCAATGGTGGCAAAATATCAACCCATTTGCATCTCCATTCTCCTCGTCTTATTCATGTCTATAATGTTCCTGGCAAACGCGCATAATAACTTATGTCTGTGCGTTGTCTTCATTGCCGTTACGTCCTGATGGAAGGGCACGGTTATTGTCTTAGTGTTGGCGTTAGTGCTGGCATGTGTATGGGGAGCCAGTCGCATGTGAATATCCATGACATAATTAAGTGTGGGTGCCCGGTGCGAGCAATGGTTCTCATTTTAGTATGGTCCGAATGTTGCCCTGTCCTGAACTCCTGGTTGAGTTCAGGACAGTCCGAGGAGTATTCTTGATGATAGTGTTCCGTGAAACGCGTCATTTGTAAAGCCTTTCCTCCGTGTGTTGCGTTTTTCTGCAATATTTGCCCATTGTGCCGTCATGTGCCGAGAAAGTTCTCTCTGTCCGGCGTGGAGTAGAGGCTGTTTTCGATCTTGTCGCGGCCGTTACCAACTACATTTTCTGCCAAATGAAAAAGAATGATCGGTAGGCCTGAATACTATTGTGCCATTCTGTAGTGCACACAAGTCAGTGAGTCTGCAAAGGTGCGATTTTATATCGGATGGACACTAGCGACATGCTCAACGACTAAGGTCGTTGAACATGCCCTGAACCCACCAAGCCAGGTGTGCTCTTCGATGATCAGATGGTTGCCTTCGGCATTTTATAGCCGGTTTGACTCCGCAGGTACGTTTTGCATAGCAGACAATGCACCGCCACTGCTAGCGCCGTTGACAGTGCACTCTTGCCACCCGCAGCCAAGGAAGCAGCCAAGGAGTCCAGCAAGTCCAAGAGGTAGTCGCCGCGGCCGGAGACCGGCGACGAGCTCCCTCGGAGGCGCGCCATGGTCGTCCGGGCACTACTTTCGCCTGCGGACGGAGGCCGGCTGTTCGGCGGCCCGCCCTCGCCGACGCTGTTTCTGCTTTGGAACGAAGGCGCAGATTGGTTGCTGCGCCCTGCGCAAACGCATTTTGTTCTCGCGTTTCGTGTGGTTTCATTAACACATCGCCCGACTTGACCGCCGCCGCAGTGGTTTGCTAATAATAAACGTAATACGAAGGATTCTAGCTTTTCGTGCTGTGAATTGCGACAAAGTGCGAGAATTCGATGGAAGCAAGAAGACTTTACGGCACTATGAGTTTAGAGCTTTTATGCTGGCAGTTGTCGACCTTCAACATATCAGAATGTACTGGTTGAGCGTTTTAAGCAAACATTTGTTATACGGTCAATACCCGAAGTTTGATAACGTCGTTTGACCGGTACGTTCTGGTACAAGGAAGGTCGATAGCTGCCAGCATAAGCCTCTAGACTCGTAATGCTGTACAAGTAGGGAGTATCAAAAATATGAATTTAAGCTTTCAGAAAAAAACACCGATGCAAGCGGGATGGCATGCATTCAACTGCGGGCTGTGGAAGATCGTAAGCCGATGTAATCAGAACGCCAAATATATACTAAAATATGTATATTTAAGCGCCACTGCTGCTGAAGGTGCGTCTGTCGTTAACAAGCATCAAGCACCCGAAAACAATGCTTAGCTGGAACGTTCAGGAATGTATCAGTGCTCGGTTATCCCTGACCAACCGTAAATTCGTTCAAATAAATACCGGTGTCTACTTCCTTCCTACGACAGACGTGCTAAAACATTCTGCCTACTAGCCTCCGACCATTTCGCGCTGTACGAAGCAGAAGATTACAAAAGCATCAGCATTTACACGTAAAAGGCTTCACAGTATCGAAGGCACTGCACTAAACCAGATCGACAGCCGGTTGTCTGACTCCGCGGAGCGCACTAACACGAGCAAGGCGAACCAACAGCCTCGCAGAGGTGGCGACATAAGATAGCAGCGGCAGCTTCCGCTACACCTCTCCCCGTTTGCCCACAACCCATCTCGGTCGCTCCCTCGTCTTCAGCAGCGACAGCAACACGCGCGCCTAGGCGCGTCCGCTCGTCTCCAGCATCATCTCCATAATCTTGTCCAGCTTACGCTCCATCGCGTCCATGCGGTCGCCGAGCAAGTGCTCGCCGCGCGCGAGCAACAGCTGAGCTGCCTCGACGATGCGCTCGTCGATCTTGAAGCTGTGGCACTGGCAGCCGAAGAAGCGCGAACGATCGGCGTTCGGGTCGACTGACAGCCGCTTATCCTTGAGGCAGCGCGGGAAGAGCAGCGTCTTGTGCGCCAGCCAGAGCTTCAGCCGGTCCCAGGCGCTGGCCGAGTGTCTTGCCGCAGCCGTGGCACGCCTCGCGGCCCAGGAACACCGATTCGATGTAGTGGATCAGACTGACGCGCGAGATCAGACTGTGCAGCTCGGCGTCGGCTTGGATGGCCGCCGTGTCAGAGACGGCCAGCCCGTTCAGCAGGTTCATCAGCACCAGCGCGATGAGAAAGAGGAAGCCGAAGAAGGCGATGTGGCCCGAATAGGCGGAGCGCGAGAACTCCAGCGAGGTGTACTCCATCTCACCGGTGGACATGACGACCGTCTTCAGCAGCGCCTTCCAGTACGTGTTGAAGTGCTCGTCGGTGCGAAAGAGCAGGTTGAACGAGATGGAGAAGGCGATGATCAGGAACGAGTAGAGGAAGATGAATTTGATGAAGTTCTCCGACACCGTCTTGAACATCATGATGTACGTCGAGAGCTTGGGATGGCGGCCGAGCAGCAGCACAAACTCCAGCCAGGCCAGGATGATGGCCCAAACGGCCACGTGCAGGCGCGTCAGCTGTGACATGTGACCGTCCAGCAGCACGACCGCTAGCAGCACGATCAGCGCCAGCTGGATGCAGTTCTCGTGGTGTCTTACGTACGCGCGCCACGACAGGCTGAGCTGACATGCCTCGCGCAGCGCCAGCAGCAGCGCGCTGAGTCCGAGCACGAACTCCATGGCGATGAGTCCGGCCGCCGGCACGGCAGGCGACGGACGCACCTCGCCAGTGGTCGACGATACGTCAAATTCCAGGTACACGTAGGCGGTGAGCACGGCCACGAACACGGCGAACAGCACCACGTTTAGCACGTACAGAGGCTGGATCTTGTGCCACTTGAGCAGCAGGAAGCTGTTGAGGATCGGATGGTGGAGGAGGCGCTGGTGGCGGCGGGATTCCCCCATGAAGAAAAGCGGCTCAGTCTCGGAGGAGAACGGAAGCGCTCCGTCGGCGTTCTCAGGAGGGATTAGGCAGTCGTAGTGGAAGGAGATACGGTAGCTGTTGTCGCCAGGCGCATCTCCGTTGGAGCGCACCGACTGATCAAGCGCGGACTCCATCACCGAAGCCTGGATGCGCGTCATCGGCATCGTCCCGAAAACGTTCTTGATGCCGATGCTGGCGCCGCGCAGCAGCAGCGGCGTCACCAGGCCCTGGTCCTCGTTGAGCGTGGCGAAGTGGAGCGGCGTGTTGCCGCGGTCGTCCTGCAAGTTGATGCCCACTGGCAGTCCGGAATCCAGCAGCAGCTCCAGGCACTTGCGGAAGTCGACGCGTTCGTCATGCTTGCGTTCCTTGGGCGTCCGCTTCGCCACGAGGTGCAAGGGTGTCTGACCGGCGTTGTTGCGCTGGCAAAGGTCCACCTCACGGCCGCCCTTCCGCACCGATTCCAGCAGCAGCTGCAGCACCTCATGGTACCCGTGGAAGCAGGCGTAGTGGAGCGCGCTGTAGCGGTTGGTGACGCTGACAGTGGCCAGGTTGGCGCCCGCCTCCAGCAGATCCCGCGCCTCCTCCGCCAGCCCGTTGTCGGCGGCGAACTGCAGACACGTGTAGTTGCCGTGCTCGCGCTCGAGCGCCTCGCCGCGCGCGTCGTCGGCGAGCGCGCGCACGCGCGCCAGCGCTGCGGCGAACTCGTCGCGCCCGCCGCTGGTTAGTGCCTCGTACAGGCGTTGGCCGGGCTCGCGCTCCAGCGGCGCCGCCGGCGCCGGCGTCACCTCCAGCAGCCAGGCGAATTTGCTCTGGATGAGTTCGCGAGCGCACAGTTTGCCGACGCGACAGTCGAGGTCGGCACCGCGCTCCACCAGCCGGCGACAGAGCTCGGCGGCGCCGCGCTTGGCCGCCAGCAGCAGCGGCGAGCACCCGCTGCAATCGCGGTCGTCGACGCCGACGCCGGGTGCCGCCAGCAGCACGTTCAGCACGGCCTCGTAGCGCGCCGGCGCGTCGGCCCACTGCAGCGCCAGTAGGTGCAGGCAGTTGCGCTCCTCGGCGTCCTGCGCGTTCACATCGGCGCCGTGCTCGAGCAGCGCCCGCGCGATGCCGGCGTGGCCGCCCTTGACGGCGTAGTGCAGCGGCACCGACTTGGAGCCGTCGCGGGCGTCCGGGCGCGCCCCGCGTCTTAGGAGCGCGTCTACAGCCGCCGCCCGGTCGCGCTTCACGGCGTTATGCAGGCACGTGCCGTTGTACGGTGCCCGGTACAGGTGGTTGACGTCCACCGTCGGCTGCGCCAGCCAGTGGTTGAAAGTGTCCATGTCGTTTTCCAGCAAGGCGGTCAGCATGTCCAGCTGCGGGTCGGCGTCTTCTGTGGGCTTCATGATGGGGATCCTCAGGTCTGCCTCACCAAGCATCGGGGCTGTGGACGGAACAGACACGCACTGTTAGCTGCTGCAGCGCTGTTACAGTCACAGAAGCGCACTGTTAGCTGCTGCAGCGCTGTTACAGTCACAGAAGCGCACTGCCAGCTGCCGCAGCGCTGTTACAGTCACAGAAGTGCACCGTCAGCTGGTGCAGCGCTGTTAGCCAGCGCACTGCCAGCTGGTGTTAGCCACATAAGTGCACCTTCAGCTGGTGCAGCACTGTTGGCCACATAAGTGCACTGTTAGCTGGTGCTACGGGCAGTGTGGGGAAGGTAGACCCGGAGCGATATATGTATGCCCGAGGAAGGGAAAGAGAGGCAAGGGAGGCGAGGGAGGAAGTGTATAGAGCAGATCTCAACGCAAGGATACATGAATATGTCTGCTCCCTGCTCTTTGATAAGATCCCGCTGCATACCCCTCGTACCAGTCGATAATCGCGCTACTATGCAGTACGAAACAATACTATGCTTTCAACGATACGTTTTAGTTACTTGATGCGTACAGTGCTTGTCAATACCAGACAGGTGACATGGCGAAAGGGCTGACCTGTTGTCATCACTTTTGGATCGCAGAAGAAGAAACTGTCTGAAGGAAATCCATTCCTTGCGGCTCACATCGACAAATTTCGCGGTATTTCGGTTTCGTGACGTGCCCAGTGGACCGACGTGGCAGAACGCGTAGATACAGATTACCACTTTACCAGCCAAGATTCGCTAGCGTAAATGCACGCTTGATGGAGCACTGGCATTGACCACACAGCCTTCTCGATCCCCCGGATTTGCCGAGCAAACTGGGAAGGTGACGCCTTGCGATGATCGATTCGTAACAGACTAAATAGATTACACTTCGTGTCAGAAGGAAGTCTACATGCTACATGCTTTATATTGGCTGGTAGTATGAAGATAAGTTAGCATTGCAATGCCACATGGACTATAGCTAGTTCAACTGAGCGGAGTTTTCACTCTTGATTAAGGCAAGCCGCGCAGCATGTGCACGGAAAGCACATGCATGTGCTCCAGTTCGAAATAACACGGGTCATGACCGTTACTTTAGTGTCAGTTGGGTATGCAGCCGCATTCCCAGCGTCTTAAAAATTTAGTATTGGGCTATGATATTGTGTAGAAAGGATAAATCCCCACATAGTGTTTGTATCCGCAACACAAACGAACACTTCTAACGCGAGTAGCTTATTTTTCTGGGAAGTAACAAACAGCAGCAAAGCACATACACTACCATGCAGATAACTCAATAGTACCCAGCGGTCAGCCTTACCCAGCAGTCAGAAACTCGTTCGAAACGAGTCGCGTGGCCTTACAGTCCACCGAGATTTCAGCCTATGATAGCAAACAGTGGTACTATCGGTGGGCAGTTGACCTTAAAATGTACCGCCACTAGTCCCTTCCCCGCGCCTGGTAGAGACATGCTTTCTGGTAACGACCTGGACAGGAAATTATCCGAATCATTCCTTAAATACCTAGACCTGGGACAATCGATCCGTCTCGCCCCATTCTAACACCGACAGACTATCTGACATCACTAAGCTTTCTGTCTCGCCCAGTACTCTCATTCTCCTCTCTGTTTTTCCCATTCGCTCTCCTTCCCTTCCCCTCCTTCCCTCCCTGTACCTCTGTGTTTGCCGTTCTCTCGCTTGCTATCTTCATGCCTCTTTCTTGCTTTAATTTTAATATTCTTCTTTCTTTCCATATTTCCCTGCCTTCCCTCTTCATGCCTATCTCCCTTTTCCTCCCCCCCCCCCCTCCCACTCTTGTTTTTATCATTACCTTCTCTGAGCAATCGTATAACGCTCATCCGCCTGTTGTTGTTTTTCCGTGCCAGGCGGCCACATAGCGGCAAGACGTTTCATCGCATTGTAAGATGGATTCCTGCGCCTACCACGGTCCGTGGGGGTCTCATGATGCTATGCATGCCAATGCCTCTGTCGGTCTGATTAATGCCGGGCTGTACTGGTTGCTGCTTTACCAGGCACGAATGTTTAACTTCCACGTTAAGTGCCGAACACAAAAGCACGCTTTTTTGGATGGACATCTCGATAACTGCATCGCACAAAGGTTCAGCGGTTTTTGTAAGATGCCAACGACACAAGGCCAAAACAGCTGAGAAGACGCCCGCCATGAAACGCTTAATGCTGGGAAGCCCATTGACATTACAGCAAATGCACTTGCAACGCAATTTGCAGACAACGCTATTTGCACGTCGAACGTGGAAACAGCACACGCGGCACCGTCCTGGCGTACGTCACCGCCAGGATTCTTGAAGGCACCAGGCCAGTGTGACCCTAGGCTATAAGGGGCAGCATGTTGCGATAGTCGAGAGGGCGCGCTTGACCTTCGCGGGCCCACCACCTTCGACTTCATCGGCACTGGAAACTGAAGCTTGTGCCGGGGATAGCATGGAAAGAACGCATCTTCGAATCCCTTGTACTACCGACCTCCCGGTTCCTTCTGTAATAACGGTATGTTCGCGACAAATTCGCACATTGCAAGCGACCCGCTACACTTGCACGAATAACTTTGACTCAATTATTACTTTACGTGTACGTATCTCGCCGTCTCAAGGTCGGCTTCCACTGTGGATTCTGACACCGAAACAATGAATTTATACAAGCAAGTCATCAACGAATAACTCAAATATATTTGAGCCTGAAATACCTGAGATATCAAAATACATGGAAAAAGATCATTTAGGCGTGCAATTATATGCATATGTTGCTGGTAAAACTAAAAGAGCGTTAATTTTGACCACTTATCGTTGCCTCCTTGTGTGTCGGACTATATTTAACACTCTTATCTACAATTACCAAAATCATGAAACGGTTTGAAATTCAATTTGTAACATCACCACCTACAAAGTAACATGCCAACAACCCAGTGAGTAGGCTACAACGATAAAGGTGCACGCCCGATTTGTTATGTCAAGATGGAACTCTCTTTCTTCAGAGCGTACATGCCTGATTAGAAAATGTCGTGTCTTTTCCTCTTTACTGACTGTATAAAAGTGTCAGATACATGCGACCATACCAGAAGTGACCGGTCATTTCTAACCTTTCCATTGTCGAAAAGGTCTCGAACCTGACAGTTGCTGCGCAACAACACTGTGGGAGCAAAAAAAAAAACTCAAGACTTTTGGCCTGACGCAGCTCACCTGACAGTGCAATGCGTCAGCTGAGCATCGCATGCGACCTCGCGGCTTCCTACATGGCAAAATATATACTATACACTCTTAGGCAGCCCGAAGAATCCGCACAGGGAACCTATGCTCAGGACAGCAGTGTTGGCACCTGCCGTCAAACAATCTGGTCAGCCAACGCAACCGGAGCTTGTGCGATCGTCTCAGTAGCCGCCTGCAGGGAATAGGTTAGACTGTGCCGCTTAGCACAAGAAGCGTTACCCGTGAGAAGGCCTGTATATCCGTGGGAAAATGACGTTTCTGGTTGGAAAATAGCACAAAAGGCGTTTCGAATGCAAGTATTTGATAAATTGATGTGCTGTGCTTCAATAATACCTGGCATAACCCGTTGAAGCAAGAAGAAAGACCGAAGAAAACGATCAGAATCAACCGATCCATTCGCAGTTGCCTGGTTGTTGAACAATAATGCCCCCAATGCGAAGTCATAGGCCTCGTGTCAAGCTACAACCAGGCGGCGTATAAGTTTTTTTTGCTACCAGCTTACTCACAAATGCGAATTCTTATGCATTATTGTTCAATACTGCAAGAAATTTGGCACAGACTGTGGCAAAAGCACGCCAGTAACACCTGTTTGTCACAGAAAGAGGTCTATTGAGCCCATTTAACGAGACGGTCATGAAACATTCTGAAGAGATCTTCCTCTGACTCTCTCCATACTAGCCAGAAGTATTAAATTCGGCTCCGTCTATCCACACAGCAAAACTCACGTGGTCAGTAACGTCTAATTCCCGCCTTCAGTCGTGCGTCCTTTGTGGTTCGGCGCCTGGCGGTGAAGTTTTGGCGCGCTCCGGCCGGTCCCGGCTTTCCAGTTGATTACGTCACGTATAGCCTGCGGACAATCCGGGCATTTAAACCTGACTTCAAGGCCATTAAAGCCCACCTACATCCCAGAAAACGCCTCTGGAACCTCATCCGGCCACTGCCGTTCCTCGCCGTCCTCCTGCAGCCACCACAAGGGCACCACTTCCATGGTGTGGCCGAAATATCGCGCAGATTGCTTTGTTAGGCGACGGTCCGTGCGCGGCCACGATCTCGCAGCTGACTGGCGGCCATGTTGGCCGGACGCCGGACTGGAAATCAATGCACGCCCAGCGCGCCGGCGCACTGTCAGCCGCCAGCCGACGAGATCCATGGCGACACCGACTGTCCCAGCCAGGGCTTTGGGCTGCCACGGGGCGCTGTGCACGCGCTTGAAGCCCGGAAACGGTGCTAGTCTGCTTCCGCCGGCGCGATAGTGACCCCTCCCACGCCCCCGCATGGTCGCGCGGTCACATCCCGGCCACCCCGCAGCGCGACACGCCTCCAAAACACAGCGCATCACGACAGCACCCATCCCGTCCCGGCACCGCCCCGTCTGTACGGTCCCGGGTCCCGCGGCTACTCACCGTGCTCCTCCGTGCGCGGACCCGGGTCACCCTCACTCGACGCCGCTGCGGCAATCACTGCCGGCCGCGCGCCGCCCGGCGCCGCAGCAGACGCGGCGGCCCGGGTCAGCTGGGGCGGGAACGCACCGCGCGCGCCTGGGAACCGCTGCCCGGGCCCTCCCGCACGCCGGGGCCATCGGTCGGGGTCAGTGGGGAGGGGACGGCAGGGCCGGAAAGGGCGTGAAATGCGGGCGGGTGGCGAAGCGTCGAGCGGGCCAGCGGGTAATTGTCCTGAACTGTGTTCTGGTGCGTGGGCGTGTGATTAGTGAACACGGGTGCTGCGCTCTCCATGCGATCGTGAAGAGATATGGTCCTAATATTTCCAAAAACACGCCAAGACTCGCTTCCCTCCTCACGCGCAATGTCTGTGGCCTGGTGGGCTGGTGCTGAGCGAGGTGTGCGGTGCTGCATTACATGGATGGCTGGCACGAGTCACCAGCATGCCGTGGGAGTCTGTGTAAAGCTTCCTCCATTAATTTCTGTAATGAGGTTTCGCATTCCCACGATTATCGCCGCCCTAAAAACGCTAATTATGCTGAGACATGACTGTTGAAGCGGAATGTGTGGCACAACAAATGCAAAATATGCACTAGTATTGTGGATTGATCTGAGAAACTAGTGCCGATCGGCCATCGGGGTCATCGGCCTAAGCAACAGTTCCACGCGTCCTCAGCTTCCCGAACAAGAGAGCTCAGCATTCATTTCCAAAGCTTAATTACAGGCCATGTGAAGTTATTTCATGACCTGCCACGGCATACAGCTTGATAGACCTTAAACCTATAATATATATGATTGCATGACAATGAATACTGTTGTTGAGTTTACAGACATGGCAGGGCTTCTTCCTCATTACCTAGTAAATTTATTCATGACCTGGTATGTTCCGACCTTGGCCTATGGTGATATAAAACATGACCTGGGCCTCGGGTGAAATACAACATGACCTTGAATGCCATCATCGGGCACGTAAAAAAGTATCGCACACAGTTTTTCGTTAAAAAATATTTTACCGAAATTGTTGGGGACCAACGTCAATCACCCGCAGAAGTGACATCTGTATTATATATTAATGATGCCACTTTAAAGCCACTTAACAAGCGCACGGGCGGGGGTGGGGTCAATTTGACCCCCTCCGTAGGTTTGGCTGGAATGGTTTTCGAACGACACGGCATGGCCACGCCAAATTTTGCACAACTATAGAGAAAATTGAAAGCGAATTATTTGATATCAACAACTTAGATGTTCTTTTTGGGTCGCTGACCTACGGCAGGCCAAAGGCAGGGCGTAGATTCAGCGCAGACAATTTTTGGGAAATCATTCAGTCTCAAGCACCAACGGAATATTACACAAAGCCATACAGCTCTGAAACGGTTTCATAGAGCATACAACAAAATGTATGGACAAACTCCAATGATCTAGGGTCAGGTATGCAGGTCAGATAAAGGTCAAATCAACCTGTTTTATTACCCTAGAACTAACTGCATAGGATAGTTTCTGGTTTCCATTTCAAATTTGTTGATGAAAGGAACAAAATCGCACGTCTTCAATGGACCTCCTAAAGGTCAGAGTAGGTCATTAACCTGAAATGACCCAGGTTAACATTTTGTTTCTAGGAGCATTTATCCTAACCACATATGTCCCACATATGTCATGACGTTATATTTAACACTTATTCAAATGCAAAACTGAAAGCAGTCTTGTATGATTTTGGTCAACATGACCTTCAAAAGGCCAGTCAAGGTCACTGACCTTTCATGAGCACCAGTAACCTGTTTTGCTTAAAACAGGTATATAGGTTCTGGGGGCACTGTGAGCATCAACCTGAAGTTTGACCGTGTTTGACCTTATTTGACCAAAGTGATGCGACCTAAGAGCCATAAATTTTGACACAAATGAGCACACGTGCATGCCAACACATCCCGTGTATTTGGTGTCAATACCTCTCCTAGTTGCTAAGATCCCAGGAGGGGGCTAAATTGACCCCCCTCCCCACCCGCGCCAAAGGCATTGAGCCGACCACCCGGGCGCGTGTTAACACGCGTTTGGGTGAGGGTCATATTGTTCCCCCCCCCCCCCCCGAGGGTTTTCCTGAACTGTTTCCAAACGGCGCGACGAAGCCTCGCCAAATTTTGCATACCTGTGGACAATTTAATTTTGCATTGTGTGGTATCAAAAAATGATGTATACCTTGTAAAACCACTGACCTATGGCAGGTCAAAGTTAGCCGATGGATTCAGCGAGGTCAATTTCTAGGGAATCGTTCAATGTGATCTAACAACGGAGCGTTAGACGAAGCCATACATCTCTGAAATACTTTCATAGGCAACAAGTTCATTAAATGAGCAAATACCATCGATCTAGGGTCAGCTATGAAGGTCAGACCAGGATCAAAACCAGCCTATTTCGTTACTCTGGCGCCTGCTGTATGGGGTAGTTTCTAGTGCGTATTTAGAGCTGATTGATACCAGGAACGGCATCGGAATCTTTCATTGACTTATTAAAGGTCATAATAAGTCACTGACCTACAATGACCCTGGTCAAAGTTTCGTTTTTAGGAATATACTACCTAGCGTAGTCTCCGTCGCTTATTCAAACACAATTATCAACTCAGTCTTCTATGATTCTGGTCACTATAACCTTCGCAAGGTCGGGCAAGGCCACTGACATTAAATGAACATGAAACCTTTTGCTTAGAACGGGTACCTAGGTTTTGGGGATACTTTGGAGACCAACTTGGAGTTTGACATTGTTTTACCTTATTTGACCCGAACATCACGATCTAGGAACCTCAAACTTTACCTAAGTGAGCTTAAGTGCAAGCCCACACCCCGTGAATTTGGTGCCTCTAGCCCTCTTAGTTCCGGAGATCTCAGGGGGTCAAATTGGCCCCCAACCCGAGAAAAGGATATCCAAACGGCCACCTGGGCGAGTGTTACCCTACCAAAATATGCTGTAACCCGGAAATTTCTATCTACCTAGCATTGCCCATTAAATAATTAGGAAAGTCTTTATCCTTTTTCCATCATGAAAAGCCTTTGAAAACAAGGTAGAAATTCATTGACCTTTTAAGGGCAGGGTCATTAAGAGTTCCTTAAAAAGCCCTCGACGGTTAACTTTTCGTTGCCATTTAAGAGTTGTCTTTGCTGACCATCACCAGTCTACTGCAGTGGGCGATATGGGCTCACTGTTGGAGCCAGGAGTATGCACAGTAAACCGGGAGTACCATCTGAACTACCTACATGATGAAACTGATTAATTTTCATCAAACAACACGCATAAAAATCAGGCAGATCTGTAAGTAACACCATTTCTGTTCCAGTAGGTCCAAAAAACTCACATTTTGGCCGCGAGAAAATGTGAATGCGACATAACTATCAGACAAGGGTATTCAAAGAAAACTGAATGGAATATTCATATCTAGAAATAGACGATTTTACCTCAGGTGCCTCCAAAACAAAAAAAGTTCCTAGTGGTGTCTGAATGATGCAGACAGTTTGCATATTGGTAGGTTGTGTGGAATCATAATTTCAAACGAGATTATAAACTCCATGCAGGTCATCTTTTACACGGACATTGACACATCTCGTAATATAAAAGGACAATCACACAAATCATAATTTCACAAACATCATAATGCTGGGGCAAGATCGCCGAGTTTCAGAACGGTTTGGAATACCGCTGTAGGGCTTGCTGACGGTGGGTAATACGAGCCCCACCAGAAGCTATGACTACATCGGGGAAGCTGCACGGTTTCACCAACTCGCCGTGCACAGGGACCATTTATCACCGGTCTAATTCAGCGGCGATCAGCCGGCGGAGTGCTGAGCTACTTAGCAGCGGCGCGTACATTAGCGCCGCTGCTGGCTGCCTGAGGAAGTCACACTGTCCGGGCACCCCCCGCGTGGATGACTGACAGCCGCCGTCGAGGGCGCGAGTAATGGTGCCGCGTGGGGTGCCAGCCTGCTTGATCACTGGTGGATGCTGTGGATCAGTGTCACAACCGCGCTTTTTCTACCACTTCCGCAAGCCTAGCGTGATATGCCGAGGCGGGGAGTGGACTGAGTTGAAAACGTTAAACACGCAGCGGTAAAACCAATAACAGAACTGCTGGGTGTTAATATTGTGATTTTGGGGAATGAGTTAACCGGCGCCCGGCGCTGCCTTGTCCCCCAATTTGGCCCGGCTTGACCGGAGCAGGACTCTGATTGGTTGGAACCCCACTGTCACGCGAACACGTGCAGCGTAATGTTTGGTGGAACCGGGTGAGCTCAGCGCGAGGTGACCTGTGACGAGCAGCGGGGTGTGGCAGGTCATGAGACGGGTATATGGTCTTTGGATAATAGAGCGGCATATGAGGTTTGAGTATTTGTGAGCCCAGCGTGTGATAGGAGTTGAGTCTCGCGAAAAACCCATACAATTTATCAACGCCAAATCCCTTTACATTTCAAATTTAGATTTATAATCCCTTTTGGAGGCGTAATTACTACTCGTTCGTCTAGTCCAGCTGTGTTGACGTGACATTGGCTGACCTGTGACCCCACTGGTCCCACTCCGACTCGTGACGATCCGATTGCCGGTCTTTACGATCCATGTTTTCATTAAGTTTGCGTAACGCACCCGTAGAAATTGAGGAACCAAACCCGCGTGACACATTCTAAATGGCAGCATCCGTTGATGGTTTTATTGCGGCTGATCGTCATCAGGACGACGGCGGTGGGACTGTCTGGCCGCCCCACGCTCGGCAGATCGTCATCAGAACGATAGCGGTGGGAGGGCCCGGCCGCCACAGGCTCGGCTGATCGTCATCAGGACGACAGCGGTGGGACTGTCTGGCCGTCCCACGCTTGGCTGATTGTCATCAGGACGACATCCTCCTCGCATAGTTTCCTCCTCGCTGGCAGCGTGATGTCGATTGCCACCCTAAACGTGGCACTTGCTTACGCCTATAAGCAAGAACGGATGACGTTTATAGGCATACAAAACGATATCCTTGAGTTTTTTAATG